CATAGGGGAGGTCTGTGTGCCAATTTTGGTCCAGGTCCATCATTGGTGGGTGTCATAGTGGTTTCAGGAAGTGAGTGAAGATACTGCAAGTCCCATCATCCATGATCCATCCTCCTCCCAAAGAGTTATGGGGAAGGCAGTGGGTGGGGTCATGCAAATTCCACACCAATAGAGAGAGTCAGAAGCACTGGGATGTCTGTGGTGGAGGGAACACATGAAATCTAGGATGAAATAGTCCTCATATGAAAGCCTTAACTTGGTTGGTGGGCACTATGGTGTTTGTGGAGGACATTGGCAGGGCTCTTGGACATGTTCATGGCGCTCACTATAACTTGCAATGCCATTGAAGGGAGGGCCTTTGGTGTCTCTTGAGTAGTGGGAGCTAGAGCTGTTTGTGGAGGTGGGAGCTTGTCTGTGTAAGTGGACACTCCAGGCACACATACATATTTTCACTTTTATTGTATGTATAGATTTATTTATTGGGCCGTACATCCATGTCTGACCAAATATGTCTCATTGGCAAGAAAGTAAACTTGGCTCTCCCTCATGTGTTATTTGGCCCCGCCTTGCCAATCCAAACAAGCTTCTGTGCCTGCAGTTTATGCATCAGAGTACTCATTGCTTAGTAACTTCATGTTTCCAATATTGAATACCGATATGTATCCTCGCTTCCATCGCGTTGCTCTTTCCTTCGATCCGTCGGCAGGAAAACAACAACGACCCCGTGTAAGGAGAGGCGCCACAATGATGGCGGCAGAAGCATCCTGTTTGGAGGTTGATGGGATTCGGGAGGATGATTTGGAAGAAACGTGGGCACCCGCTTTTCCTGATAACCCTCTGGAGAATCGCTCCTCGGCTCCAGAAAAGCCAGTGGTGAAAACCATCCTGGTTGACCTGAGACCCATCTTGGAGAAGGTCATGGAAGCCTCATCTCTGGGGCAGGAGGAAGAGGCGGAGATGGATGATGACCTCGCCGATGGTGGGGAATGTCTCGATGGCACAATGTTTGGATCCAACAGCAGAGATATTGATGGCACCATGCTTGGATCCAATTGTGGAGAACGTCTTGACAATGGCAGACAATGTCTCAATGGCACAATGCTTGAATCCAATGGCAAACGTTTCAGTGGCACAATGCTTGGATTCAACAGTGGAGAACAACTCAATGGCACAATGTTTGGATCCAATGGCAGATGTTTCGATGGCACAGTGATTGGATCCAGCAGCGGAGAATGTCTCGATGGCACAATGCTTCGATCCAGCGGTGAAGAGCAACTCAACGGCACAATGCTTGGGTCCAACGGCGGAGAACGACTTGACGGCAAAATGCTTAGATCCTGTGGTGAACGTTTTGATGGGTCAGTGTTTGAAACCAATGGTGGAGAACATCTCAATGGCACAGTGCTTGGATCCAATGGCAGATGTCTTGACAGCACAATGCTTAGATCCAATGGTGGAGAACATCTTGATGGCACACTGCTTGGATCCAATGGTGGACAACATCTTGGCAATGACAGAAAACATCTTGATGGCACAATGCTTGGATCCAACAGTGGGGAACGACTCAATGGCACAATGCTTGGCCCCAAAGGCGGAGAATGTCTTCATAACACAATGTTTGGATCCAAGGAAGAAGCCCTCCATCTGGAAATTCCACCGCCTTCCAGAGTAGAGAACCCCTTGAAACCTTTCAGCAATATTAAGGCCCTGAAGGAAAGCCAACCAAGGAAGAGAGAGTCCACAGAGCTTCGGAAAACCACCATGCCATCCGTGGTGATGCTTGAACCAAAGCTCAGTCCTCCATCGTTCCTCCCCAAGATTGTGACAAAGCTGGAGACAGAAATCTCAACCGAACGGGTGAGAAACTTCTCAAATTTTTGGGAGTGAAAGTATTCAGCTTCCTCTGAATACTGCAGGCTCGGTTGCAAAGCAGAGCCAAAATGGTGAGTTGGCATACCCAAAAGACAGCAATACTTCATTTTTTCTGTCTAATCTGCAGACTACGGCCCCATCTCCGGATTTCGAACTTCCCACACATCTTCTCCTTCGGAGACTGGAGGAGACAACAACCAGCGACAGCCACCTTCTCATCACGCAAACACTGAGTCTGTTGCGGGAGGAACTTTTGCTGGACGAAAGGTAAGGAGACAGTGGGCGTGTGTCTACACCAGGGGTCTCAAACGAAGGCCTGGGGGCCGGATACGGCCCTCCAAGGTCATTTACCTGAAAGCCCACAACAACAACAACAACAACAACAACAACAACAACAACAACATTTCTATCTCATCAGCCAAAAGCAGGCCCACACTTCCCATAGAAATGCTAATACGTTTATATTGGTTAAAATTGTTCTTCATTTTTAATTATTGTATTAAGTGTATTTGCACTACAAATAAGATATGTGCAGTGTGCATAGGAATTCATTCATGTTTTTTTCAAATTATAATCCGGCCCTCCAACAGTTTGAGGGACTGTGACCTGTCCCTCTGTTTAAAAGTTTGAGGACCCCTGGTCTACACCGTAGAGTTAATGCAGTTCAGTATTACTTTCACTGCTATGGCTCAAGGCTATGGAACCCTGGGAGCTGTCGTTCGGCAAACCGAAACTACAACTCTCCAGAAAAAGAGGTATATTGTGAATATGTCCTTAGATTGCTCTCTTTTCCCCCCATATTCTTGCTAGGGAGAAACCGATTTGTTTCCCTGAGCTTCCGCGGATCCAGCCCACTTTGAAAGCCAGGAACAGACGCATCAATACATTCCCCTGGAAGCACTACCAGTCTTTCCATGAAGAACTCCCAGACCTCTGAGTGGCTCCCAAAGCTCTCCTTGGGAGTCATAGACCTTCTAAGGGACAAAAGCAGTAGCTGTGTTTCACGTTTGTTTATTAGACATGTTTTAGGTTAGGGCCACTGCTTTAGTTGGGTTAGTCTTCTACGTTAGGAAAATCTGATTGTGGTTTTGTTTGGGTATTTTCTATTTTCTGAATTATTTTCTTAATTAAAGTAACCACATTTTTTCATTCCCCCATATAAACATCTCTAAAAGTGGGGTGCATCTTAGAATTGCAAAGTGTGTCTGTCTAGGTATGTGTGTATATATATATCTTTCTGTGTGTGTATGTATGTAGTATATATGTATGTATGTGTGTGTGTGCTGGCATATTACTAGCTTGGGGACCTGGCGTTGCCCAGGTTATTTGAAAAAGTCAAATTTTTAATTGTACAAAATGTGAAAGGTTGTGGGTGAACTACAGCTCCCATTATGCCAAGTTAACCCCCTGAAACTCCATCAGTACTTAAAGTTTGTTCTGTTGGGCAAGTTTGCTCTGGATGGATCATCAGTGGGGTTCAATGTGCTCTCTGGCTTCAGGGTAAACTATAACTCCCACTATGGTGAGTTAGTCCCCTCAAATGCCTCTAGTAGGTTGAGTTAGTCATGGGGATTCTGTGTGCCAAGTTTATTTATTTATTTACCTTACTTATATACCGCTGTTCTCAGCCCGAAGGCGACTCACAGCGGTTCACAACAAATACGAAGTTTGGTCACTGTTTCTCAGAAAGGAAGATCAGTTCCCTCCAAACCCTTCCAGTAATCAATTTGGGCATATCATGTATGTGTGCCAAGTGTGGTCCAGATCCATCGATGTTTGGGTTGATAGTGCTCTCTGGATGTAGGTGAACTACAACTCCCCCAAATCAAGATAAATTTTCCCCAAAGACCTCTAGCAGGTTGAGTTAGTCATGAGAGTTCTGTGTGCCAAGTTTGGTCCAGGTCCATCATTGGTGGAGGTCACTGTTTCTCTGATTGTGGGTGAACTACAACCCCCAGAAAGGAAGGTCCGTTCCCCCCAAACCCCTCCAGAAGTCAAATTTCGGCATACCAGGAATGTATGCCAAGTTTGGTTCAGATCCATCGGTATTTGGGTTCACAGTGCTCTCTGGATGTAGGTAAACTGTAACTCCCCAAAATCAAGATCAATTTTCCTCAAAGATTCCCAGTATTTTTGCTGGTCATGGTGGCTCTGTGTGCCAAGTTTGGTCCAATTCTATCTCAGAGTGCTCATTGATTGCAGGTGAAGTATAAATCCCAGTACCTACAACTCCAAAATGTCCAAGCCAATTCCCCTCCAAACCCACCAGTATTCAAATTTGGGCATATTGGGTATACATGCCAAGTTTGGTCCAGATCCAACATTGTTTGGGTTCATAGTGTGCTTTGGAGTTGTTGTGAATTGCAGCTCCTATAAATCCCTCCCAAGATCTCCAGTATGTTTTGTAGGTCATGGGGATTCTGTGTGCCAAGTGATATTCCATGTCCATTGTTGGTGGAGTTCGGTGCTCTTAGATTGCAGGTGAACTATACATCCCAGGACCTACAACTCCTGCAAATCATGGTGAATTCTCCCCAAACCGCTTCAGTATGTTCCATTGCTGATCAATTCCTCTCTTTGCTGTGTGCCATAGAATAGGAAAGGGTTAAGGGAGAGGCAGTGGGCGGGGTCATGCAAATTCCACACCAATGAAGAGAGTCAGAAACACCGGGATGTCTGTGGAGGAAGAAACACATGCAAAGAAGAATTGAAATTTTGGACAGATGATATGTGGCTTTGGGGGGGGGGGGGGGGGGGGGGAGCACAGCGGTGAGGGATAGATAATATGTATAAGCAGAAAAATAACACTAGATGCCAAAAGTTAAAGTATGGTAGGTTGAATTGAATGATATGTATCTGCTGTAAAATAAACAATGTATAACAAATGTATTGAACCATGATAAAATAATAAAAATATTAATAAATATATATATATATAGAGAGAGTGGGGGGATCTGTGTGCCAAGTGTGGTCCCACCGCATCAAGTCAAGTGTGGTTCAAACATACATGCAAACAAATAAACATTCTTACATACTTTGACTTAAGATATATATGTAAGGTTTTGTTTCTGGTTGGCGGTACTGATGTTAGCATGCATCTTAGAATGAAATGCCCAGAAAACAGTAGAGAACCTGGAAGTTGTTTTATTTGGAAATGTATGCACATATATTGATCGCAAAATGGGGTGTCGTTCTGCCCCCTTCAAACGTAAAACTGGCACCCAAACTTGGCGTTGTCCTGCTCGCTCATAGGGTGGAGGTAGAAGAGCTCATCGGAAACGGGGGGCACCCAGCGTGTGGTATGGTAGCGAGACTCACCTACCTGGAAAAAGAGGGATTTTGGCAGAGATTTAGAGTGGTATAAATGCATACAATTGCGCAAATGGTCAAGTGATCTAAGGGAAAAGTATAATGGAAGAAAGGAACATATGACATTTGAAAAGAGGATAACTCAAACAGAGGTTAAAGAAGAGAATAACAAACAAAATTTGAAAAAGTTATGTTTCTGGTTCTATAGCTGTTTGTGGAGGCAGGAGGCTGTCTGTGTAAGTGAACACCTCTGCCACATACACACATACACATTTTCACTTTTATTATGTATATAGATAGATTACTATAATTATTTTCCTGCTTTGATCTGGCATGTACCAATCCCCATGGATGTCAATGGGTCGAGAGTCCACTGGATTATTATATTATTGCATTATTTGGACCCCATATTTCAATGTTACTATCAAGCCAATTCAAACCTCCTAATGAATATATTATAATACTACTGGGTTACTGTGAGCTTTTCAGACTGTCTGGTCATGTTCCAGAAGCATTCTCTCCTGACGTTTCTCTCACGTCTATGGCAGGCATCCTCAGAGGTTGTGAGGTCTGTTGAAAACTAGACAAGTGAGGTTTATATATCTGTGGAATGTCCAGGGGAGAGAAAGAACTCTTGTCTGCTTGAGGCACGTGTGAATGTTGCAATTGGCCACCTTGATTAGCACTGATTGGCCTTGTAGCCATTTACTGTCCTCATTTTAACAAAGGATTCCCCAGGCAGAAAGCAGCCAGGCTTTGAAGCTGCAAGGCTATTAAATGCTAATCAAGGTGGCCAATTGCAACATTCACACTTGCCTCTAACAGACTTGCTTCACTATGTCTATGCAGAGACCCCCACTTACTGACTGCAAACTTCATGGCTACTCATTCAAGCTTTCTAATTGCAACATTCACACTTGCCTCAAGCAGACAAGAGTTATTTCTCCCACCCTGGACATCATTCCACAGATATATAAACCTCACTTGCCCAGTTTCCAACAGACCTCACAACCTTTGAGGATGGTAGCATATGGTAGTATATTATATATATTGTGGTACAATAATATAGTACAATATAATAATATATAAGAATATAATAACTGTATATTATATATTACATGTAATATTACTAATAATAATGCAATATAGTGGTATAGTACAATAATATAATATATTGTATATACATATATTGATAATATAATGTAATACAATATCATACAATACAGTATAGTAATTGTATATAGTAATAATATTGTAATATAATAATACTAATATATAACAATATAATATATAACAAGCACCGGGACTGTGGGGCAGCTGGCTGAATGTCAGCTGCATTAAGATCACTTCTGACCAAAATGTCATGAGTTCGAAGCCAGCCCAGGTCGGAGTGAGCTTCCGACCAATTGTGTAGTTTGTTGTCGACCTTTGCAACCCGAAAGACAGTCGCATCTGTCAAGTAGGAAAATTAGGTACCACCTATATGTGGGGAGGCTAATTTAACTAATTTACGAGGCCATAAAAAAGACTCCAGCAAAGCATGCGGGGAATGCGGAAGTACTTCATCAGTGTCGCAGATAGACGATGAAAGCGACAGCTCCCCTGGCAGCCAGAAAAGTTAAATAGCCTCTGACTGTCTATCTATATCTGTTTTGTGTGTCTTTGGCATTGAATGTTTGCCATATATGTGTACATTGTAATCCGCCCTGAGTCCCCTGCGGGGTGAGAAGGGCAGAATATAAATACTGTAAATAAATAAATAAATAAATATTATGATATACTGTTTTATTATTATATATTGGTATATGTTAAGCTGTAATGTTTTTTATTGTGAGCCACTTTGAGTCTCCGTATGGAGAGATAAAGCAGGATATAAATAAAAACATTTAATTTCAAAAATGAATTTAATTAAAAAAGAAACCTGATGAGGTCTCTTGGCTTTTTCAGCCAGAGGGAGCCACAACTTCCCAAACTCCCAGGATTCTGTTGCATTGAACTGCAGTAATTAAAATAGGACCAAACTGCGTTAATTTGCTAGTGTAGATAGTAAGAGATCCCTGCGTGCCCACTGAACCCCAAAATGGGCCACAAACCTGCCAACCGGGAACATCCTTCATGATCTTGGCTTCTTCGTCCAAATTCTGCCGCAGGAGGCGAAGAGTCCTGTCATGAGAGACGAAAGGAAGACGATGATCATCTTGCCATCTCTGATGTATTTGAAAAGATGATTAAAAATGGGTGTACAAGAAGTAGATACAGAATTAGATTTACATCTACAATGACATGATAAGTTGATTGCTGGACTCTTTAAAGTAACACTAAAAACTATACAGAGAAAGATCAAGTTAAAAGACCACATGATCAAATGGGCACAAAATATCAGACACAATATTGAAATGAGTACATGGGAACACCTGTGGGAAAGAGGGATACATTTCACCCACAACTATGGCCTCCAAGAGAACTTCTACAAGATAATGTAGAAGTTCTCGTGGAGCCATGCGTGACTTAGGGCCTTTTACTCAAGCACTTAAGACCTGGCTTTTTACTAGAGCATTTGATCCCTGTTAATTTTTAATTTTTGTATGTATGTATTTTATCTTTTACAATTTAGCTGTAAAGCGCCTAGAGCATTCTCGGATGGAGGGCGATTAATAAGTAATTAAATGATGATGATGATGATAATGATAATGTACCATTGGTATTTAACCATGGAACAACTAGAAAAATCCAACCTAAGAGAAAAAATACCGGTTAGCTCCTTTTAACATATGTGGTGGCAAAGTCCACTAGATAGATAGATAGATAGATATAGAGATAGAAATACAGATAGATAGATAGATAGATAGATAGATAGATAGACAGAAAAATAGATAGCTAGAAAGAAAGATAGATAGAAAGATAGATAGAAAGATAGAAACATAAACAGAAAGATAGATTGAAATAGATAGAATTATAGGTAGACAAAAAGATAGAAATATAGAATGATAGATGGAGAGACAGATAGAAATCTAAATGGATAGAAATCTAAATAAAAAGATATATATATATATTTGGATATCATCTCCCAGAATCCCCAGTCAGCATGGCTGATGTCCAGGGATACTGGGAATTGATATTCAAAAACTCTGGAAAAGCAGTGATTGCCAGTGGATCCATTCCAGGTTTTTGGCTCATTTTTTGACACTATCCAAGGTGCTGAAAATTGTAACAAAAGGCCTGGTTTTAAACCTGGACTGGATCCAACACCTCCTGACGTGGAACCCATCATCCGCTCCTGGTAAAAGGTTGAGAAATACAGATGTGAAAGCCAAAAGCTGCAATGATAAGAGTTAGAGCAACTTGCAGAAAGAAAAGCCTAAAAAGAACCAGTCTGGTCAATACTATTGATTCTTAATTTCTGCAAAGACAAAGGCACCCTCCAACTGTGAGTTGGGCCCAATACTCCAAGGGTTCAGTCCAAGTCTTCAATCTTAAAGATGCCCTCCGAAGAGGAGTCACAGCCAGACCCATCCATCTTTGAAGGGGAGCCCTGGCTCACTCCTTCTGCACTGGTCTGGGAAGAGCCATGAGTCCGAATCCCCAACTCTTTGGGTGCATATGGCAAGTAGGCAGGGGCTTTCCTGGCCTGTTTGGGCCCCTGGATGTGAGGCACCGGCTGCGGAGCGCTCACGCAGGGGCTGTAGGTCTCCGGCCAGTCGATGACGGAGATATTCCAAGGGATGCTGAAACCATCTTCCTCCAGGTCATCCAGATTTGCATCACATGTGCAGGACTGAGTCCACTTGCAGACTTTGGAGGAGAAGCAGAGAAGGCTGAGGCTGGCCAGGACCACAAAGATGGCTCCCACAGGAAAAAAGGTAGATTATCCAGTTGCCAAAAGCAGAGGATCCCTCTATGGATCCCTCTGTGTGCCTGAAGGTGACCTCTGTTGGGGATTTCCAAGTTGTATCCCGCCCATGGCTCTTAGTAACATCCAAGGAACCAGAAGGCAGCTGCACCAAAGCACTCAGCAGGACCCGGTCCATGGGGGTTGCTATTTGGGGATCCAACCCATTGGGCTCCACAACTCTGGGGCCCAAATTTTGCTGGTGGGGTCCTAAGCAGGTGCGCTATCAACTCCCAATAGACAGTAAATTGACAGATATATAAAGATAGAAAGGTAGATAGAAAGATAGAAATATAAATAGAAAGATAGATAGATAGAAAGATAGACAGAAATATAAATAGAAAGGTAGAAAGATAGAAATATAAATAGAAAGATAGAAAGGTAGATAGAACGATAGATAGAAATATAAATAGAAAGATAGAAAGAAATACAGATAGATAGAAAAATAGACAGCTAGAAAGATAGCTAGATAGAAATATAGATAGATAGAAAATTAGATTGAAATAGACAGAAATATAGCTAGACAAAAAGATATAAATATAGAACGATAGATAGATGGACAGATAGACAGAAAGATAGAAATCTAAATAGATAGAAAGATAGACTGAAATATAGATAGACAGAAATATAAATAAAGTTAGACAGATATATAAGGATAGAAAGGTAGATAGAAAGATAGACAGAAACATAGACAGAAAGGTAGGTAGAAATATAAACAGAAAAGAGAGATAAGAGAAAAAAAATACTTGTTGGCAATGTAATAAAGCAGTTGGCTCCTTCTATCATATATGATGGCAATGCCCACACACTAAAAAATATTGGACAAAAATATTGGGAAACACACTAAACATTACAATTATTTATGAGCCAGAAATGTTCTTATTAGGTCTCATCCACAAATGAATCCCAAAAGAAACATGAGATAATATTTCATTATATGGTATCAGCAACTAGGATACTGTTTGGAAAATACTGGAGACAAGAGACAACATCTACAGTGGAAGAACGGATGACGAAACTCATGGAGGTCTCTGTAATACCGCCCTGAGTCCCCTTCGGGGTTGAGAAGGGCGGTATACAAATACTGTAAATAAATAAATAAATAACTGTAATATTACTTAACTATTGCTCCCAGTAAAAACTCAATTATAATTCATGCAATAACTTCAGCCTTAGGGGGGGGGGGGTCATTGTATATGCATTTGCTCTACCTTTCCTGCCACTTTGTGTCCAACTTGTGAATTGTATGGTTTGATTTATCATTAAAAATAATAAAAAATAAAAAGGAAGACTCTATGAAGCCAAAAATTCCACCAGAATTAAGGACATTACACCTATGATGATGATAATACAATGATGTATGTACCTTCGGTCGTCTTCAGCCATCAAGAGAGGCATAAGAGCCACCCGAGTTTCCAAATCCTCAATAGTCAGGCGCCTGAGGAAGAGCAGGCAGAGTTAGCAAAGAAAGAGAAGCCTCAAGATGTGTCTACATTGGGGAATTAATGCAGATTGGCACCACTTTCAATGCCATAGCTCCAACAGACGGAATCAATGATAGTAAAGCCAAAGACTACAACTCCCAGGGCTCCATCGCATTAAGGCTGTGAAGACGTTCCTGTTCGAGAAAGCGTTGAATTAAGCCAAACAAATGGTAATGGAAGCTCTGGGTTTTTATCTTGGCTTCAATGTTGTTATTACCGGCGCTGGACCCCACTCAATTCAACACTTACCAGCCAGTTTCAGCTCTAAGGTTCTGGAGATGGTGGTGGCCTCTCAGCTCCAATTTTTTTTGGAAGAAACCATTATCTGGCTCCATTTCAATCTGGTTTCAGACCTTGTTTTGGAACTGAGACAGCATTGGTCACCTTGGTGGATGAACTATGAAGAGAGCTAGACAGGGGGATTGTGTCCCTACTAGTTCTCCTGGACCTCTCAGCAGCTTTTGATACTATCAACCATGGTATCCTTCTGGGACGTCTGCTGGGATGGGATTGGGAGGCACTGTTTTAGAGTGGCTCCGTTCTTTCCTAGAGGACCGAAACCAAAAGGTGGTGCTGGGCGACTCCTGTTCAACTCTCTGGTTGGTGGCCTGTGGGGTCCCTCAGGGATCTATTCTGTCCCCCATGCTGTTGAACATTTACATGAAATGGCTGGAGTTTTGGAGTCTGGTGACATGTGTATGCAGATGACACCCAACTCTATTACTCCTTTCCACCAAAAACCAAGGATGCTGTTCTGGTCTTGAACTGGTGCCTGTCATCTGTAATGAACTGGATGACGGCAAATAGCTTGACACTAAATCCAGACAAGATGGTAATCTTGTCAGCGCCGATTGTTTTTAAGTGCAGGCCAAGGTCTTTAGGCACTGCACCCAGTGTGCCGATCACCACTAGGACCAGCTTTACTGGCTTGTTGTTGCTATTACTATTATTATTATTATTATTATTATTATTATTATTATTAGACAGAAAGGCAGTTTCATTCGCCATACAGAAACCTCACCTCCGCTCCCGGTTCCACTTCATGAGGTTGTAGTATCCAAACAGGAGGGTCCCAATGCCAATGGCAAAGAGGCTGTAGCCTGGAAAGGAAGAAGACCCGGGTTCAAATCTTCCGCAAGATGTTTATTTAGATGCCGTTTCCTCCTTAAAGCTCATGACAAATGACAGGAAATGCCACCCAGACATGGGATTCCCTCTTCAGGCCAGAAAGCCATGGTGCAGCTCGACCCGGGACTACAAATCCCAGCAGCCCTTATTCCTCACAGCAAATGAAGGATGATGGGAAATACAATCCCCCAACCACATAAATTCCCTCTTCTGAACTGGGTCTAAATCTGTAGGGCAGTGGTTCTCAACCTTCCTAATGCCACGACCCCTTAATACAGTTCCTCATGTTGTGGTGACCCCCAATCATAACATTATTTTCGTTGCTAGTTCACAACTGTAATTTTGCTACTGTTATGAAGCATAATGTAAATATCTGATCTGCAGGATGAAATTTCATTCACTGGACCACATTTGGCACAAATATCCAATACGCCCAAATTTGAATACTGGTGGGATGGGGTGGGGAAAGGGATTGATTTTGTCATTTGGAAGTTGTAGTTGCTGGGATTTATAGTTCACCTACAATCATAGAGCATTCTGAACTCCACCAACAATAAAATTGAACCAAACTTGGGACACAGAACTCCCTTGACTAACAGAAAATACTGGAAGGGTTTGGTGAGCATTGACCTTGAGTTTTGGAGTTGTAGTTCACCCACATCCTGAGAGGACTCAAAACAATGATGGATCAAAACAATGATGGGTTGGGACCAAACTTGGCATGAAAATCAATATGCCCAAATGTGAACTCAGTTGGAGTTTGGGGAAAACAGACTTGACATTTGGGAGTTGTAGTTGCTGGGATTTATAGTTCACCTACAATCAAAGAGCCTTCTGAACCCCACCAATGATAGCATTGGGCCAAACCTCCCATACAGAACCCCCATGACCAACAGAAAATACCATGTTTTCTGATGGTCTTTGGTAACCCCTCTGACACCCCCTCGCGACCCCTCCACGGGTCCTGACCCCCAGGTTGAGAAACACTGGTGTAGGGATTCTTAGCTCCAACTGTGTTGCTGTGGATTAGTCTTCTCTTGAAAGGACACACCAATGGGATTTTGGCTGTATCAACAGGAGTCAAGTGCCTAGATCCAGGGAAGTCATGCTCCCCCTCTATTCTAGTCTGCCTTGATCAGACCACGATACCTGGAATCACACTGTGTCCAATTCTGGGCAACACAATTGAAGGGAGATGTTGACTCTAAACTGGAATGTCTCCAGAGGAAGATGACTGAAAGGATSAAGGGTCTGGAGAACCCTATGAAGAGYGACTTATAGAGCTGGGCATGTTTAGCCTGCAGAAAAGAAGGCTAAGAGGAGACATGATGAGGGCTATGGATAAAGATGTGAAGAGAAGTCATAGGGAGGAGGGAGCAGGCTTGTTTTCTGCTGCCCTGGAGACTAGGTCGCAATAAAACAATAGCTTCACACTACAGGAAACAAGAGCAGAGACATCACACTGGCAACAAAGATCCGCATAGTCAAAGCCATGGTATTCCCTGTAGTAACCTACGGATGTGAGAGCTGGACCTTAGGGAAGGCTGAGTGAAGGAAGATTGATGCTTTTGAACTGTGGTGTTGGAGGAAAGTTCTGAGAGTGCCTTGGACTGCGAGAAGATCCAACCAGTCCATCCTCCAGGAAATAAAGCCCGACTGCTCATTGGAGGGAAGGATACTAGAGACAAAGTTGAAGTACTTTGGCCACATCATGAGGAGACAGCAAAGCCTAGAGAAGACAATTATGCTGGGGAAACTGGAAGGCAAAAGGAAGAGGGGCCGACCAAGGGCAAGATGGATGGATGGCATCCTTGAAGTGACTGGACTGACCTTGAAGGAGCTGGGGGTGGTGACGGCCGACAGGGAGCTCTGGCATGGGCTGGTCTATGAGGTCACGAAGAGTTGGAGACGACTGAACAAATGAACATCAACACAGGAAACAAAGGAGATTCCACCTGAACATGAGGAAGAAATTCTTCACTGTGAGAGTTCTATGAGGTCACGAAGAGTTGGAGACGACTGAACAAATGAACATCAACACAGGAAACAAAGGAGATTCCACCTGAACATGAGGAAGAAATTCTTCACTGTGAGAGTGTTTGGCAGTGGAACTCTCTCTCTGCCCCGGGAGTGTGGTAGAGGCTCCTTCTTTGGAGGATTTAAAACAGAGGCTGGATGGCCATCTGTCGGGGGTGCTTTGAATGAGATTTCCCTGCTTCTTGGCAAAATGGGGTTGGACTGGAGGGATGGCCCACGAGGTATCTTCCAACTCTTGTTTCGCCTGCATCTCTGGCTAATGCTATTTTCAGAGGTCTGTTGGGATGTGAGGCAAGTGGAGTGTCTATATCCCTGTGGAATGATGTCCAGGGTGGGAGAAGAAAAAAACCCTTGTCTTATGAAGCAAGTGTGAATGTTGCAAATAGCACTGAGTAGCCATGAAGCTGCAAAGTCAATCAATCAGTGAGGGCATCTGCATAGAGGTAGCCTGGCCTCTGTTGCCTGGAGGCATCCTCTACAACAACAGCCATGCCATATAGAAAGGACCATGAAAGCCTTCTAGGGCTGTACGACAACGCCCAAGGGCCCCCGCCTTCCCTTCCCTCTCACCAGAGAGCCCCCTCCGGGGCAGGTTCCGCTTGTAGTCGATGGGCCCGTATCCTCCCGAAGGAGGCATGTCCTGCTTCACCTTCCCTCCTCCCGTTGCCATCTTGGACACCGGCCGTAGACTCCCACTGCGCAAGCGCCACCTCTTCCCTCTGACGTCAGCGCACACGGCCTGCTGCCGGGCCTCCCTCAAAGCCCCGCCCCCGACTGGAGCCACAAGCTGGCTACCATAAATGCCAGATTGGAGGCGCACTCGTTTGTCCATCCTCACAGAATCATAGAATCAAAGAGTTGGAAGAGACCTCATGGGCCATCCAGGCCAACCCTCTTCCAAGAAGCAGGAATACTGCATTCAAAGCACCCCTGACAGATGGCCATCCAGCCTCTGTTTAAAAGCTTCCAAAAAAGGAGCCTCCACCACACTCCGGGGCAGAGAGTTCCACTGCTGAACGGCTCTCACAGTCAGGAAGTTCTTCCTCATGTTCAGATGGAATCTCCTCTCTTGTAGTTTGAAGCCATTGTTCCGCGTCCTAGTCTCCAGGGAAGCAGAAAACAAGCTTGCTCCCTCCTCCCTGGGGCTTCCTCTCACATATTTATACATGGCTATCATATCTCCTCTCAGCCTTCTCTTCTTCAGGCTAAACATGCCCAGCTCCTTAAGCCGCTCCTCATAGGGCTTGTTCTCCAGACCCTTGATCATTTTAGTCGCCCTCCTCAGGACACATTCCAGCTTGTCAATATCTCTCTTGAATTGTGGTGCCCAGAATTGGACACAATATTCCAGGTGTGGTCTAACCAAAGCGGAATAGAGGGGTAGCATGACTTCCTTAGATCTAGACACTATGCTCCTATTGATGCAGGCCAAAATCCCATTGGCTTTTTTTGCCGCCACATCACATTGTTGGCTCATGTTTAACTTGTTGTCCACGAGGACTCCAAGATCTTTTTCACACGTACTGCTCTCGAGCCAGGCATGGTCCCCCATTCTGTATCTTTGCATTTCGTTTTTCCTGCCAAAGTGGAGTATCTTGCATTTGTCACCTCCCTAAAGGTGTTATGTTTTATTTATCATATATTAAAATAAAATATATGTCTCTCTCTATATAATTTATATTTATTTTATATAAAAATGTTTATAATACATTAATATATAATAATTGATTTATATTACATATATATATATATATATCCATTTATAATATATATAAATATGCATTATTTATATTAAAATTATATTATATATCTATTACTTATATTTAATGTATAATTTATTTTATATCTATTATTTACAATATAATATATATATATATATCACAATATATAATTATTTTCTGTTATTTGTATGAATACATAGAATTTATAATCAATATTTATAATATATTATAAACATGCTTGATAATACAGTAAAATATATGTATAATCTATTTTATATATGAATATATTAATATATATCTAATTTATAATATGTATTTATAATATAATAAATATGTATTAGTTATAATATATTAAAATTATATATATGTAGGTATATGTATAGATAGATAGATAGATAGATAGATAGATAGATAGATAGATAGATAGATAGATAGATATAGATATTATAAAAGATGCAGACTTGGGTTGCTTACAAAAAGGAAAGGGTCTCTCTTCCAACAGAATATAAAAGAAAGAAAATTACATCTATCTATATTTTGTTGTTTATTCATTCAGTTGCTTCTGACTCTTCGTAACCTCATGGACCAGCCCACGCCAGAGCTCCCTGTCGGCTGTCACCACCCCCAGCTCCTTTAAGGTCAGTCCATTCACTTCAAGGATGCCATCCATCCATCTTGCCCTTGGTCGGCCCCTCTTCCTTTTTCCTTCCATTTTCCCCAGCATCATTGTCTTCTCTAAGCTTTCCTTTCTTCTCATGATGTGGCCAAAGGACTTCATCTTGGCCTCTACTATCCTTCCCTCCATTGAGCAGTCAGGCTTTATTTCCTGAAGTATGGACTGGTTGGATCTTCTCGCAGTCCAAGGCACTCTCAGCACTTTCCTCCAACACCACAGCTCACAAGCATCGATCTTCCTTCGCTCAGCCTTCCCTAAGGTCCAGCTCTCACATCCGTAGGTGACTACAGGGAAGACCATGGCTTTGACTAGGCGGATCTTTGTTGCCAGTGTGATGTCTCTACTCTTCACTATTTTATTGAGATTGGACATTGCTCTCCTCCCAAGAAGTAAGTGTCTTCTCATTACCTGGCCACAGTCTGCATCTGCAATAATTTTTGCACGTAGAAATACAAAGTCTGTCACGGCCTCCACGTTTTCTCCCTCTATTTCCCAGTTGTCAATCATTCTTGTCGCCATAATCTTGGTTTTTTTATGTTTAGCTGCAACCCAGCTTTTGCACTTTCTTCTTTCACCTTGATTAGAAGGCTCCTCAGCTCCTCCTTGCTTTTGGCCATCAAAGTGGTGTCATCTGCATATCTAAGGCTGTTATTCTTTCAGCATTTTTTACCCCAGCCTTGCATTCGTCAAGCCCCGCACATCGCATGATGTGTTCAGCATACAAATTGAATAGGTTGGGTGAGAGTATACAAGCCTGCCGTACGCCTTTCCCAATCTTGAACCAGTCTGTTAACTCATGGTCAGTTCTGACTGTTGCTACTTGGTCCTTGTACATATTCCTCAGGAGACAGACAAGGTGATTTGGTCTGCCCAGACCACCAAGAACTTGCCACAATTTATTATGATCCACACAGTCAAAGGCTTTAGAATAGTCAATGAAACAGAAATAGATGTTTTTCTGAAACTCCCTGCTTTTCTCCATTATCCAGTGGATATTGGCCATTTGGTCTCTCGTTCCTCTGCCTTTTCTAAACCCAGCTTGTACATCTGGCAACTCTCACTCCATGTATTGCTGGAGTCTTCCTTGCAGGATCTTGAGCATTACCTTACTGGCATGAGAAATAAGGGCCACTGTACGGAAGTTTGAGCAGTCTTTCGCATTTCCCTTTTTTGGTATGGGGATATAAGTTGATTTTTTCCAGTCTGATGGCCATTCTCGTGTTTTCCATATTTGCTGGCATATGGCATGCATCACCTTGACAGCATCATCTTTTAAGATTTTAAACAGTTCAGCTGGGATCCCGTCGTCTCCTGCTGCCTTGTTGTTAGCAATGCTTCTTAAGGCCCATTCAACCTCACTCCTCAGGATGTCTGGTTCTAATTCACTCACCACACTGTCAAAACTATCCTTGATATTATTATCCTTCCTATACAGATCTTCTGTATAGTCTCGCCACCTCTTGATCTCTTCTGCTTTTGCCATCTTTGTTTTTTATCATGCCAATTTTTGCCTGAAATTTACCTCCGATGTTTCTAATTTTCTGGAGAGGTCTCTTGTCCTTCCTATTATGTTGTCTTCTTCCACTTCCATGCATTGCTTGTTTAATAATCGTTCCTTATCTCTTCTGGCTAACCTCTGGAATTGTGCATTTAATTGGGCATATCTCCCCCTATCACTGTTTCCTTTTGCTTTCCTTCTTTTTTGGGCTACTTCCAGTGTCTCTATCTATCTAATACAGGGGTCCTCAAACTAAGGCCTGGGGGCCGGATACGGCCCTCCAAGGTCATTTACCTGGCCCTCACTCAGGGTCAACCTAGGCCTGAAATGACTCGAAAGCACACAACAACAACAATCCCATCTTATCAGCCGAATGCAGACCCACACTTCCCATTGAAATACTAATAAGTTCATATTTGTTAAAATTGTTCTTCATTTTAATTATTGTATTGTTTTTAAGTATCTTTTGCACTACAAATAAGATATGTGCAGTGTGCATAGAAATTCATTCTTCTTTTTTTTTCCAAATTATAATCCGGCCCTCCAACAGTTTGAGGGGCTTTGACCTGGCCCACTGTTTAAAAAGTTTGAGGACTCCTGATCTAATATATATATATCTATTAATTATAATATAAAATATTAAAATACATTTTATAATCTATAATATATATTATACATAGATATTATAAATAACACATTTATAATATTATATATGAATATATTATTGGGTTGCTGTGAATTTTCTGGGCTGTCTGGCCATGTTTCAGAAGCATTCCCTCCTGACGTTTCACCCACATCTATGGCAGGCATCCTCATAGGTTGTGAGGTCTGTTGGAAACTATGCAAGTGGGGTTTATATATCTGTGGGATGTCCTTTCTCCCACCCTGGATATCACTCCATAGATATTTGAGGATGCCTGTCATAGATGCAGGCGAAACGTCAGGAGAATGCTTCTGGAACATGGCCATACAGCCTGAAAAACTCAGAGGAACCCTGTGATTCTGGCCACAAAAGCCTTCGAGAACACATTAAATACACACACACATAACGTTGGAAGAGAGACCCTTTCCTTTTCATAAGAAACCCATTTTGCAACTTCTGAAATTCTCACAAGTCCTTTTCATATCTATATATATGGCATGGCATTGAAAATTTGCTGCTGCTTCTTGGAAACCGCCGAGTACCCGTGGAGAGATAGGGCAGGATATAACGTTTTTGTTGCTGTTTATTATTATTATTATTATTATTATTATTATAATTATAATATATCCACACTTATATACTACTGCAATGAACCTCTTGTCCTGGCACTACATCTAGTACCAACCTGTAGAAGTATTTTTTTAAAAAAGAGAGAGAATTCCAAATAGGATTCTGAAACACTAACATTTAGATAAGCTATCATAGATGAACAAATGAAAGTATACATGTATGTGTATAAGCATGTTTGTCCCACAAAGGCTCTTCCGTGGCATAATGGATCTGGACCGAGCTTGTGCCACAGGTCTTTTGTGATCAAACCTGAAATAATGGAAAGGTTTGAATTTTGAGAGGAGAGAAAGGAAAGGAAGAAAGCGGATTGGTGGTTGCTAGGTGAAGTGGCCCTCAGTGATGTCACTGGGAAAGAAAGCAAAGCGGATTGGCTGAGAATAGGTGACATGGATATGAATGGAAGAGAGAGAAAAGAGAGAAAAAAATGAAAAAAAAGAGGGAAAGAAGTTTGAGGGAAGAATAAGAAAGGGAGGGAGGAAGGGTTGAAGAAAAAGGAAGGAAGGAGGGAAAAGATCAGAGAACTATTAAGGGATAAATAAGGGAAGAGAAAGGAAAGAAGTGAGGAAAAGAAGAGATGTATTTGGGAAGAAGGGATAAACAAAGAAGGGAAGAAATAAGGGAGAAGTTTTTGAAGATTGTATATGTTTTTATGGATTTACTATGAATTGCTTTAAATACGAATGATGTTTTTAATACTGTTTTATTATTTGTATATTTAAACGGTATTGAAATGATTTTACTGTTAGCCACTTTGAATCTCCTCATGGAGAGAAAAAGAGGGATAATAATAATAATAATAATAATAATTGTAGTAGTAGTAATAGTAATGGGGAAGGAAGGGGAAGGGGAAGGTGAGACAAGAAAGGAGATGTATAAGGGGAGGAAAGGAAGGAAGGAAAAGGAGGGAAAATGTATGATAGAAACCCAGGGAGGAAGAAAGGATGAAAATAAAGAGAAGGTATGTAAATGAAAGGGAGGAAGAAAAGAAAGAGCCACAAAGAAAAAGGGAAGGAAAGGAAGGAAAAAGGGAGGAAAAAATGGAAAGAAACGGAGGAAGGAAAGAATTATAAAGAAAAGGAGAGGGAAGGGAAGGAAAAAGGAAGGAAGGAAAGGAAGAAGAGGAAGGTGTAGGAGCGAAACAGAGGAAGGACAGAGTCACAAGGAATAGGGAGGGAAGGAGGGAAAGAAAGGAAGGAAGGGGAAACGTGTAGGAGAGAAATGGAGGAAGGAAAGAGCCACAAAAAACGAGGGAGGGAAAAGATAGGAAGGATAGGAAGAAGGAATGAAAGAAGAGGGGAAGGGTATATGAGATAAATGGAGGAAGGAAAGAATCACAAAAAAGCAAGGGAAGCAGAAAGAAAGAAAGAAAGAAGAAAGGTGTAGGAGAGAAATGGAGGGAGGAAAGAGACAAAGAAAAGGGAGGGAGGGAGGGAGGGAGGGAGAAGAAAGAAAGAAAGAAAGAAAGAAAGAAAGAGAAAGAAAGAAGGGGAGGGAGGAAGGAGGAGGAAAGAAGGAAAAGGAAAAGGAAGGAAGGAAGGAAGGAAGGAAGGAAGGAAGGAAGGAAGAAGGAAGGAAGGAACGAAAAGAGAAAGAGAAGGAAGAGAAAAGAAGGAAGGGAAGGGAAAAGAAAGGAAGGAAAGAAAGAAGGGAAAGGTGTATGAGAGAAATGGAGGAAGGAAAGAATCTCAAAGAGAGTCAGTGTGTCATCATCGAGAAGTTGTGAGGAAGGCCTTCTCAGAAAGTAGAAAGCAAACCAGCAGTGGAAAAATAAAATAACATTTTCGCCCCAAACCCCAACCTGGTAGCCAAAGAGTTTTGTTTTGGGTTTTTTTTGTCTCATGTTGTTGTTTTATTGATTTTTTTTAAAAGAACACAAACTTCCTTGGTTCCTCTGGTCCCTTCCGCTCTGCTTCTCTCTTCCTTCCACATTGCCACGTCTTAAGTCCAAATAACTCCTTTTCCCCCCATGGAAGAAAAAATAAAAAAGTTTTGATTTTGTCTTGTTTTCGAGGCTCCCTTTCTCATTTGGAAGCATAAGAAAAAATAAACCACTCTCCGAGACTTGGAAGAATTCGGATCCATTATCCAGAGTTCCGGGGCAAAACGGCCCTTTCGAAAGAGACAATCCAGTTTGTTTATTTATTTGAAAATAAAAATAAAAGAGGGAGAAAGAATTGTAATGCGTTCATTCTTCTGGCAGTCGAGAGTCCGCTCGCATCAGTCCATAATATAAGTTATTCCTTGAAAATAAAAAAAGAAAGAGCAGGACGCCAAGAAAAACAAAAGCATCCATCGGCATATTTCGCAATAGCGCCTTCCTTGGGGAACGAACAGAAAAGCATCCGGAGAAAGAAACCCAAAAAAGAGACATAGTTCTGGTTTTCTGATGGGGGAAAATAATAAACAAGTCCTTTGAAAGAAAAGGGGGAAATTAACCTAAAAAGAAGTAGCTTTAAGGCAGGAAAGGGGAAATGGCTCTGATTTTGGAAGAGTCTTTTTTTGTTCTGGACTAGTGCTTGACCGTTAAAAGGTTTTCAACTAAAAGAAACAAAAATAATGCAAAGGAATAATAATTATAATAAAACGGAGACGGCAGAGGGGAAAAATATGTATATATATATATATATCCACAAAATAATTTCGTTCCGTCCCGCCTTGTAGATCCAAGCGAGGCTCGAAAGCGCAACGAGGTCTTGACGGAGCAAGGGTCGGGTGACGGAGAGAAGGAAAAAATAAAACCCGATGAAAAGAAGGAACTAAAAAAACCAAAGGAGGGAATGCGGGAAAATAGGAGAGGCCGTTTCCCTCCTTGAGGCGGTGACGTTCCCCCTTGAGGTGACTTCCCCCCTCGAGGCAACTGCTTCAGCATTATTTCCAGGTGGCTGACTGCGGGATGGACCGCGGGGGGATCATGTCCAGGAGGTACTCGCGTTGGCGGTCCACGGCTGAGGAGGCCGCCGTCTTGTGCACTGTGAGGCCCGGGCTCACGAAATTCAGCGCTCCGCCTGTTTCAATTGAAAAAAAGGAGGAAAAAATATGGGTCATTGATACAGGACGGCGAAAGACAGACAACGCTAATACTCCCACAAACAACCCGATCATTGCAAAGTAGGGTTCTCTGTTGTAGGGTTCTTTGATATAGCAGTGTTGCTCTGGATTTAGTCTTCATTGGAAAAGATACGACAAGACCCACAGTGGCTAAACATATCTTTATTGTTCGAAATACAACAACCTGCTGTATTTTCCGGCATACTATGTGACTGGGCGCATAAGACGACCCCCAACTTTTCAATTTAAAATTTCAATTTTTGGATATACGCGCCCTATTAGACTACCCCTCTTGCCAGCCACTTCAAGCCCAAAGCCTCCTTTCCTGGCCTTTGAGGTGGCTTCTCGGCTCCATAGAGGCGGCTTCCCCTCCACCGTCAGCCAGGCCGTGCTACAGCCAGCCAACCGCCGTGCTCATCACTTCCTGTTTTGGATCCAAAACAAGGTGGAGGCTCCTAACAGGTGAGGGAGGCAAGCAGCTGCCCTGCACTGGAGCAGGGCGCCCAAATCAGAAGAAGTAGCTGCGCTCCTCAGTGCTGCTTGTCTCCCACTGCTGGGCTTCAGCCTCACAGAGGGGCTCTTCCACTCCGTGCTGGCCTCGGCTGTCAGTGTGGCCGCGGAGGAGAAGGCGATATATTCGCCGGATGGCTGTGCCGCCTTCTCCTCCTCCTCCTCCGCCGCATGGACAGCCGAGGCGGGCCTGGAGTGGAAGAGCCCCTCGGTGAAACTGAAGCTCAGCAGCGGGAGACATGCGGCGCCGGAGGGCAGCCCTCAGGTTCCGCTCGTCTCCCGCTGCCAGGCTTCAGCTTCATCGAGGGGCTCCTCCACTCCCAGCCCGCCTCAGCTGTCAGTGTGGCAGTGGAAGAAGAGGCAATATAATCGCCGAACAACTGCATTGCCTCTTCCTCCTCTGCCGCCACCGCACTGATAGCCGAGGTGGGCCTGGATTGGAGGAGCCCCTCGGTGAAGCTGAAGCCTGGCAGTGGGAGACAAGCGGAACCCGAGGGCTGGCCTCTGGCGCCGATTTTCTCCTGCTGCTGAGCTTCAGTTTCATCGAGGGGCTCTTCCACTCTATGCCTACCTTGGCTGTTCGTGCAGCGGCGGAGGAGGAGGCAACACGGCCATCCGCGAGTATATCGCCTCCTCCTCTGCCGTTGCACTGACAGCCAAGGTAGGCATAGAGTGGAAGAGCCCCTCGGTGAGCATCAGGAGACAAGTGGTGCTGGAGGAGCACAGCAGCTACTTCTGCTTTGGGCGCCCTGCTCCAGCGCAGGGCAGCTGCCCGCCTCCCTCGCCTTGACCCAAAACAAGAAGTGATTTTTTATACCCAGAGTACTAGACGACCCCCAAAAACAGCAAGGATTTTCCAGGGTTAAAAAGTCATCTAGTACACCAGAAAATACAGTAGCCCTATTACCCATGTATATAAGATACAACATTATAAATCACCCAAAGGCCCTGGCACTAGAGCCCACCTTCCACCACCTCAGAGCAATTGATTTTTATATGGCCGTTTCATATGTCCTTGCAGCAATCATATCCTCCCTTCTGGACAAAGGCCATGTGTTCTATGTCAGGGCTGATAGTTCGATGGCATAAGTAAGTGATCATGAGAATTGTTCACAATTTTGCTATTATCACATTTATACTTTGTTGGAAATAGCAACTTCTACAAGCCTCCTATACTAGTTATTTGTTATGTATATGTGATGATGATGTTTTTATTGAACTTATATTTTAATGTATAATGATGATGCATTGTGCTGTTTTGTATATTATTGTATATGAACACATGTTGTGAACCGGCCTGAGTCCCTCCTTGGAGGTGAGAAGACCGGTATATAAAACTTCTAAATAAATAAATAAATAAATCAGTGTGATTGCTTACTATATTGTATGTATATGATTTGGTATGCAGTTTTCCCTTAACACTATGTTGTTTCAGGTTGAGGGAGGGAATACACAACATGTGACCAAATCTGGGACTATTCAGACTGAGACTCCATTTTAGAAGCCAGTTTGCATTTATTTATTTACAACATTTATATCCCGCCCTTCTCACCCCAAAGGGGACTCAGAGCAGCTTACAAGTTATATGTACATACAATATATTATTAGCACAGCACAATATTAGTATTATATATTACTATATTGTACTGTACCACTATATTGCAATATTATTAGTAATATTACATGTAATATAAAATATAGAATTATTATATTATTATCTTGTATTATTATTAGTATTATATTGTATTACAATATTATGATCAATATTATATGTGCATACAATATATTATAATGAGCATAGCACAATGTAAGTAGTATATATTACTATATTGTACTATACCACTATAGTACAATATTATTAGTAATATTATATGTAATATATAATATACAATTATTATATTATTATATTGTATTATTATTAGTATTGTATTATATTACAATATTATGATCAATATTATATGTACACCCAAATATTATTTAGCACAGCGCAATATTAGTATTATATATTATTGTACTATACCACAACACTGCAATATCATTAGTAATATTACATGTAATATATAATATACAATTATTATATTGCATTAGTAGTATTATAATATTATTATAAATATTATATCTATATACAATATATTATATTATCAACACAGCTCAATATTAGTAGAAATGCCGTAAATAAATAAAATAAAAAAAATATTACTATATTGTTGCTGCGGGGAGGGGCTCCCAACTGATGACCCAGGAGACATGGTGCATCAGAGGCAGTACAGTACAGTTTAGATGTCAGTCAGTACAGTATGCAAATGTCAGTGTTAGTATAAAACAGTGGTTCCTAACCTTTTTTTTGACCAGGGACCACTGGCCAATATTAGTACCAAAAGGGTTATCAATCAGTTTTTGGTCAACTTTAGATTCAATTTGGTTATTTGGGATGCTGATTCAGAAAACTACACTGGACATACCACTTCAACTCTAGTTTCTGATACAGAACATTATTATTATTATTATTATTATTATTATTATTATTATTATTATTATTATTATTTGAAACATGAGTCCAAAGCAAACAAGGTCCAAGGTCACTCTGCTGGCTGTTGTATTGGATCACACATCGGACACTTCCCAAGTGTCTAGGACTGTGTGATGTATTGGCGAATAATGCATGCAGATCTCAGTAAGGTGGCCTTTTGTAGCTTGCAGATGGTAATTTTGTCAGCACCAATTGTATTTAAGTGCAGGCCAAGGTCTTTAGACACTGTACCCACTGTGCCGATCACCACTGGGACCACCTTGACTGACTTATTATTATTATTATTATTGAAGGCACAGAAAATAAGACGCTCTTTGTGAACCCATAGTGTTTTGCAGTATAGTGCTTGGTATACCCAAAAAGAAGCTGGAGAGAGGGATGGAAAGCGAGAGAAATGGACCAGACGACCCAGCCTGTCAAAGAGGAACCTAGCCCGGCAAGGGAGCGCGAGCCGGAGGCAGCAGAGAGAAAAGGGTGGTCTACCTGCGTTGCCGAGAGTCTTCTTCCAAGCGCAAGGGCCTCCTTTGCCGACGGGTCTCTGAGCACGCTTACCTTGCCTGCCACCAAGTACGGCCACACTGGAGGCGGCGTTCTGCAACTTGGGCGACGGGCTAAACGCATGCAAGACGCTGCGGGGAGTGCCGGCGCTTCGAGGCAGCTGGCTGGAAGCCTAAGAGGGAAGGAGGAGGACATGGAAAACAAAACACGCTCAATACAGAATCACAGAAACCCAGAGTTGGGAGAGACCCCCAAAGGCCATCCAGTCCGACCCCTTTCTGCCATAACACTATCTCATAAGTATATAATAATAATAATAATAATAATAATAATCATCATCATCATATATATCAATCATATCTATCTATCTGAATAATATCTAATGGCTGAATGGTCATCTGTTGGGAGGGATCGGATGGTGCTTTGCTGTCTGGCAAAGGATGGTCCTTGGGATCCCTTCTAATTCTAGCATTCTATGATGATCATGCCTATCTCTCAAATAAAATATCTCTCGATCTAGCTTAGCCATATCTATCTCAATCATATCTATGGCTGGATGGCGATCTGTTGGGAGGGATCGGATTGTGTCATGGCAGAAAGAGGTTGGACTGGATGAATATATATCATATCTATCTCAGCCATATCATTTTATAACAATTGTATCTATCTCAATCAAGGAAGGCACCATCCGATCCCTCCTGACAGACGGCCAGCCCGACACACACACACAAACACACACACACACACCCAATCCAGCCCCTTTCTGCCATGACACACTCCAATCCCTCCTGACAGATGGCCATCCAGCCATATATATGATTGAGATAGATATGACTGAGATACAGATAGATATATATGATTGATGTATATATGACAGGTATAATAATATAATCCTAGATTTGGAAGGAAATCCCATGGGACATCCAATCCAACCCTTTTGCAAGGCAGGAAGACACCATCCGATCCCTCCTGACAGATGGCCATCCAGGCATTATAGTATTGAGATAGATAGATCCCAAGGGCCATTCAGTTCAACCCCTTTCTGCCATAACACAATCTGATAGGTATGATTGATATATGTGTATATGATAAGTATAATTGTAGAATCCTAGAGCTGGAAGGGGTCCCAAGGGCCATCCGATCCAACCCCATTCTGTCAGGCAGGAAGGTATCACCAGATCTCTCCTGACAGATGGCCATCCAGCCATACATCTCTCTCTCTCTCTCTCTCTCTAAATGATGGGAGATATATCACAGAGTTGGAGAGAGGTCCCAAAGGTCATCCAGTCCAATTCCTTTCTGCCATGACACAATCCGATCCCTCCCAAGAGATGGCTATACAGCCATACTATATATATATTGTAGAATCTTGTCTGAGAGACCCCAAAGGTCATCCAATCCAGCCCCTTTCTGCCATGACATAATCTGATCCCTCCCGACAGATGGCCATCCAGCGATTAGATATGATTGGGATAGATAGATATGACTGATATATATGTATATGAAAGGTATAGCATTCTAGAGTTGTTAGGTAGGAAAGTAGCATCATTTTATTCTTCTCAAAATCCAGCCATACATTATACACACACACACACATATATATATGTTAGGAGATACCCCAAAAGGTAATCCAATCCAACCCCTTTCTGCCATAACACAATCTGATTACTCCCAATGAATGGCCATCCAGTCATTAGATATGATTGAGAAATAGATATAATCCATATATATCTATATGAAAGGTATAGTATCCTAGAATTGGAAGGGAATCCCAAGGGCCATCCAATCCAACCCTTTTGCCAGGCAGGAAGGCACCATCCGATCCCTCCCGACAGATGACCATCCAGCCATACATATGATTGAGATAGATATATGACAGGAGGTATATCGTAGAATCAGAAGAGACCCCCTAAAGTCCTCCAGTGCAACCTCTTTCTGCCACGACACTATCCGATCCATCCCAACAGATGACTATTCAGCCTCTGCTTAATCATAATAGTACTAATAGCATGGGATCATAGTTTTGAAAGAAGCCCTGCAAGGGCCATCATCCAGTCCAAGCTATTTCTGCCAGCCAGGAAGACAAGATGCTTAAAAACCTCCAGAGAAGGCGACCCTATGGAAGAGACCACATGGGGTCATCTAGTCCAACCCACTGACATATATTTTCCTATCAAACACGACGCTCAAATGTATGAACAGGAAAGCGATCTTGGTGTTGATGATGATGATGATACCTGCTTGAGCGAGTGGTGCTGGGAGGCGACCTGGTCCGGCTTGCTGGGCACAGGGGAAGTGGCCTGCTGCAGGATGCGCTGCTCAATCTCCTGCTCCTGCTGCAGGGCCTTGACGAAGGCAGCCTTAAGCCGAGTGGTGTGCTCGGCCTTGAGCGCCTTCTTCTGGTTGGAAGACATGCAGGTCTCGCACATGATGGCCCCGCCCTTCTCCTCCCTCCAGCGGCAGGTGAAGTCTGTCTTGCACTGGATGCAGGTGAAGGGATCCTGCGAGGAGGGTGCCGTTAGGACTTTGCCTGCGGAAAAAGAGGAAGAGATGGTCACACTCCACGGCCAAACTGGGTCTGAAAAGAGCGGCTTCAGCATGGCTCCTGTTGCGCGGCTTCAAGCTGTTTTCTTGGCAAGATTGGTTTGCAAGGGGTTTGCTTTCCCCTCCCTCTGAGGATGAGAGAGTGTGCCCATCCACACAGACATCTTATTCTACCATGACAGATCGATCTATCTATCCATCCATGTACTATTTATCCTATCTATCTATCTATCTATCTATCTATCTATCTATCTATCTATCTATCTCTATCTCTCTTTCTCTCTCTCTCCATCCATCTATTTATTATCTATCTATCTATCTATCTATCTATCTATCTATCTATCTATCTATCTGTGTGTGTGTGTGTGTGTGTGTTGGGGGGGTTCTGCGCATGCGTTGTAATGTAGTTTTTATTTTTTGGCTTTTTAAGTCTCTTTCGCTGTGTTTTCCAGTGTTTTTATGAGTGATAGTCACTCGTTGGCCTGATAGGTGTATTGTTTCCAAATTTCACGTCAATTCGTCCAGTGGTTTTTGAGTTATGTTAATCCCACAAACGAACATTACATTTTTATTTATATAGACTAGCCATCCCCTGCCACGTGTTGCTGTGGCCCAGTGTGTGTATATGTGTTTTGTGTGTGTGTATGTGTGTGCATATTTTTGTGTATATATCTGTATATATGTGTGTTTGCATATGTGTGTGTGTATGGTTTTGTGAATGAATAGTAATGTATTTTTTTGGCTTTTATGTCTCTTCTGGTGTGTTTTTCCGTATTTTTATGAGTGATGGTCACTTGTTGGCCTGATACGTGCATTCTGTCCAAATTTGGTGTCAATTCGTTCAGTGATTTTTGAGTTATGTTAATCCCACAAGCAAACACTACATTTTTATTTATACCTAGCTGTCCCCTGCCACGCGCTGCTGTGGCCCAGTCTGTGTATGTGTGTTTTGTGTGTATATATGTGTGTGTATATATTTGTGTATATATGTAGTTTTGCACATGCGTTGTAATGTAATTTTTGTTTTTTGGTGTTTTAAGTCTCATCTGCTGTGTTTTTCGGTGTTTTTATGAGTGATGGTCACTCGTTGGCCTGTTAGGGGTATAATGTCCAAATTTGGTGTCAATTCATCCAGTGGTTTTTTAGTTATGTTTATTTATATAGATTACAGATCCATCCATCCCTTATTTGACCATTACAGATCTGTCTATCTGTCTATCTGTCTATCTATCTATCTATCTATCTAGTTCTACCTATACAGACGCATTCATTCATCCATCTATTATTCTACCATTACAGCTCTATCTATCTATCGATCTATCTATCGTGACTAGGGCTCCTTTCTCATACCTTGGGCTTCTAGCAGGTTCTGCACCACCTCCTCTAACCCGACAAGGTAAATGAATTCGTTGTTGGCCGCGCTGGGCAGGAAGTTCATCTCGGGGGCCGGGGGCTTGGGAGGTGGGATCTCCAGCAGCGTCTTCTCCAGCTGCTTGCGCAGGGCTAGCTTGGCGGCCGCTTGTCGGCTGGCCGGTGAGTCGTTGGAGTTGACGATGGAGGCTACGCTGGAGGCGATGCTGGCTGCTGTGCTCACCTGGGAAGACGTCACTGAGCCCCCTTTCAGCGAATTCGATGAGGCCTGCGCGGGAAAAAAGAAGATGAGACTCTTAGTTATCTGATTTAGAGCTGGGGATGTTCACTTTCTTGAACGATGGTGACACGAGAGTTTCAATACTGGAATGGACTGTCTTCTGCTGCTCGAGAGACTGAGACACAATTGAGCCATAGATTCAAACAGCAGGAAGAGATTTCCACCTAAACATTAGGAACAGCTTCCTGACAATAAGCTGCATAATAAGATGCTGCTTTGGAGTCTTATGGAGTCTCTAGAGGATGGCCATCTGTCGGGAGGGCTTAGATTGTGTCCTCCTGTTTGGCAGAAGGCCTGGATGGCCCTTGGGAACTCTTCCAGCTCTAGGAATCTATCATCCATCCATCCATCTATCTATCTATCGCTATTGAATCTATCTATCCTATCTCTCTCTCTCTCTCTAGGAATCTATCTATCTTTAGGAATTTGTCTATCTGTCTGTCTGTCTGTCTGTCTGTCTGTCTATCTATCTATCTATCTATCTATCTAGCTATCTAGGTATCTATTGATCTATCTATTCATCTTTCTCTAGTAATCTATCTATCTCTATTGAATCTATCTATCTATCTATCTATCTATCTATCTATCCTCTCTTTCTCTCTCTCTCTCTCTAGGAATCTATCTATCTTTAGGAATCTGTCTATCTGTCTGTCTATCTATCTATCTAGATATCTATCTAGATATCTATTGATCTATCTATTTATCTTTCTCTAGTAATCTATCTATCTCTATCTTTCTATCTATCTATCCTATCTCTCCCCCCCCCCTCTCTCTAGGAATCTATCTATTTTTAGGAATCTGTCTATCTGTCTGTCTATCTATCTATCTAGATATCTATCTAGATATCTATTGATCTATCTATTTATTTTTCTCTAGTAATCTATCTATCTCTATTGAATCTATCTATCTACCTATCTATCTATCTATCTATCTATCTATCTATCTATCTCTAGGAATCTATCTTTAGGAATCTGTCTGTATCTAACAATCTATCTATAAATCTATAGGTATCTATCTAAAGGGGGCAGGACTGGATGGCCCTCTGTCTGGAGGGATCGGATGGTGTCACACTGAGGAAAAGGGGGCAAACTTGGAGAAGATAAGGGGACACAAGGTCCCATTGAGGATAAGGCAACCTTGTTTTCTAGTCTGGAGATTATGATATAGATTCCACCTCAACTTGAGGAAGAAATTCCTGAAGGTCAGAGTTGTTCAATGATGGGATATGTGTGTTGGGAGGGATCAGACTATGTCTTCCCTTATGGCAGAATGGGGCTGGACTGGATGGCCTTTGGGGGACCCTTCCAACTCTAGCACTCTTTGATTCGATAGCCTTATTTCTCCATGAGTCTACAGATGTCTACAAGGTCATCTGTCGGGAGGGAGCTGATTGTGTCTTCCTTATGGCAGAATGGGGATGGACTGGATGGCATTTGGGAGCCTTTTCCAACTCTAGCACTCTTTGATTTGATAGCCCTATTTCTCCATGAACCTGCTAATGTCTATAAGGTGATCTGTTGGGAGGGATCAGATTCTGCTTTCCCTTATGCAGAATGGGGATGGACTGAATGGTCTTTGGGGGCACCTTCCAACTCTAGTAGTCTATAATTTGATACCCCTATTTCCCCCTGATGTTTATAAGCCACCCCCCCCCCCTCCAGGAGATAGAGCAGAATAGAAATAAAGTTTGATTATTATTATTATTATTATTATTATTATTATTATTATTATTATTATTATGTTATTTGTTGGGAGGGATCAGATTGTGTCTTCCCTTATGCAGAATGGGGATAGACTGGATGGCCTTTGGAGGTCCCTTCCAACTCTATGTACCTCTTGCCACTGGTTTCGGGGCCTCACCTGGGGGATGTTGACCAGGAGGCTAGCGTTGGGGACATTGGTGACACGGATGAGGCCCTGCTGGATGATGCGCTGGCCCTGGATCTGGACGCTGGGCACTGAAGCCCGGGGGGCCAGGAGCAGCGGCGGCGGCCCCGAGCCGGAGTGGTGGCGGATGTTGTGGATTTGCTGGGAAGACACAGAGATGGGCTGATACGGATGGAACCACAAGAGAAAAGAGCGGGGAAGACGAGCCAAGAAAGAAGGAAAGACGATGCGATGAGGTGGAGGGAGAATGGGGGAAGAAGGAGAGAATAGAGCAAAAGCGTTAGTCTCTCAAGCTTCGGACAGAAGGTTCCTGCCAATTATCATCATCATCATCATCATCATCATCATCATCATCATTTGATACACAACAAAATTAGTACACAGCAAACAAGATCACTATGCTGGCTTTTAAATTCGATCACACTTTGGCCACTTTTCAAGTGTTGTTGTTGTTATTATTATTATTATTATATTTATAATAATAATAATAATAATAATTTTGCTGTGAGTTTTCTGGGCTGTCTGGCCATGTTCCAGAAGCATTCTCTCCTGATGTTTCGCCCGCATCTATGGCAGGCATCCTCGGATGTTGTGAGGTGGCCAATTGCAACATTCATACTTGCCTCCAGCAGACAAGGGTTTTTTCTCCCACCTTGGACATTAGTCCACAGATATATAAACCTCACTTGCCTGGTTACCAACAGACCTCACAATCTCAGAGGTGGGCGAAACGTCAGGAGAGAATGCTTCTGGAACATGGCCAGACAGCCTGGAAAACTCACAGCAATCCAGTGATTCTGGCCATGAAAGCCTTCAATAATAATAATAATAATAATAATAATAATAATAATTATTATTATTATTATTATTAATACCCTGCTTCATCTCCCCAAAGGGGACTCAAATTCTCATATAATCATAAAATCTGATTATTACATGTTTCAGCTATACGCAAAGAGCTTGCCATACCACAGAACTGCATTGGAGGGCAGAAAAGTGTTCTCTGTAGCTCTCCAGAGTGATTCAATGCTCAACTTCTGAAGTTTTTCTATAGGCTTCTAATGCAATTCTATGGGAACTTCCGAGGTTTCTCTATAGGGCTCCATTGCAATTCTATGACCAACTTTTGGAAGGTTTTTTAAATAGGTTTCTAATGAAATTCTATGAAAACGTCTATAGACTTCAAGTGTCATTCAATGGTCAACTTCTAAGGTTTCTCTCTAGGTGTCCAATGCAATTCTCTATGGCACCTTCTGAGGTTTCTATAGAGGTTTCCAATTCTATGGCCATCTTCTGGGAATGTTTTTTTTAAAGTAGGGGCCAAGCTTTAGCACAGGAGGTTAACTGCCAGATGCAGTAAATCTTGCCAGCCAGAAGGTTGACAGTTCAAAGCTCAGGTAAGGGTGAGCTCCTGGCCTTTCAGCCTAGCTTCTGCCTACCTAGCAGTTCGAAAACAGCAATGTGAGTAGATAAATAGGGACTGCTTTACAGCAGGGAGGTATTTAAGGCACCCGTAAGGAAATGCCAGAAAAATACCAGTGATTTGATCAAGGAGGAAGTTTACAAACAAAGCTCTTTGGCAGGGAAAGTGAAGCAACAGGACCCCCCGTGGCTGGAACCGAGTGCAGCCTCCAAGATCCCAAAGGTGGGAAAAGCCTATATATACCTCTATCTATGTACAGTTGTCTGTCTTATTATTGCATAAATAGCACTGAATGTTTGCCGCATATATGTTCTGTGATCTGCTCTGAGCCCCCTTCAGGGTGAGAAGGGCAGAATATAAATACTGTAAATAAATAAGGTTTCTAATGCAATCCTATGGCAACTTCTGAGGTTTCTATCTATTGTTTCTAATGCAATTTTATGGTCAACTTCTAATAGAAGTGCCCCACTCCCACCTCTTTTGGACTATGATTCCCAACAGCTAGGGATGCTGAGTCGAATAATAGAGGGTCCTTCCCTTCTCCTTGCCGAGAAAATGAATGTAAAAGCCCAGTAAATAACTCACCTGGGCCCCTCGGACAAGGGGAGGCATGACGATTTGGGTGTTTTGCTGAGAACCCAGCTTGGAAGAGGCCTGCTGCCCGCCGCGGATCAACGGAGGAGGGATAATTGTCCCAGGAATACGAGAGGAATTCTGGCAGAAATATTGTTGTTGTTATTATTATTATAAAATATTATTTATTGTTATTATTTATTACTATTAGTCAAGTTCGAACTCCACAGTAATCGGTTTTCGCAGTCGGACGCAAAATCAGGCAGCATGGCCCATCCCGACTATACCTCTATGATGTAGCTATGCAGATAATAGCAAACCCCATTGAAACAAAGGATTTCCGGGCCCTAAAATACTATTGAGCGAGGATGGAAAAGCAAGAAAAATGCCTAGGGAGGACATATTTTCCCGGACGTAGATACACAATCCTGCAAATATGAGTGTTGTAAAGCAGCGGTTCTCAAAGTGTGCTCCGCGAGCCCTTGAACTGGACTGCCTCTGGGGTTTCAGCTATTATTATTATTATTATTATTATTATTATTATTATTATTATTAGAAACACAACAAGATGAGTCCACAGCAGACACTCTGCTGGCTGTTGTATTGGATCACACGTCGGACACTTCCCAAGGACTGTGTGATTTATCGCCGAATAATGCGTGCAGATCCCAGTAAGGTGGCCTTCTGCAGCTGGCAGATGGTAATTTTGTCAGCGCCGATTGTGTTTAAGTGCAGGCCGAGGTCTTTGGGCACTGTGCCCAGTGTGCTCCTAGTACTCAGGAGACACCAATGACCTTCCCTCCAGTGACACTGCAGGTTATAGTGAGTGTCATGAACATGTACAAGAGCCCTGCCAATGTCCTCCACAAACACCATACTGCTCACCACCCAAGTGAAGGCTTTCATACGGGGATAATTTGATCCTCCTCAGACATCACAGTATTTCTGACTCTCTCCATTGGTGTGGAATTTGCATGACCCTGCCCACTGCCTCTCCCTTCACCCTTTCCTATTCTTTTCTATGGCACACAGCAAACAGAGAAATTGATCAGCAACTGAACATACTAGAGAGGTTTGGGGAGAATTCACCATGACTTATAGGAGTTGTAGGGACTGGAATGTATAGTTCGCCTGCAATCTAAGAGCACTCAACACCAGCAACGATGGACCTGGAACTAACTTGGCACACAGAATCCCCATGACTAACAAAACATACTGGAGGTCTTGGGAGGGATTTATAAGAGTTGTAGTTCACCTACATCAAAACTTTGGAATGTCCTGTATACATACTTGCCATGTATACCCAATATGCCCAAATTTGAATACTGGTGGGTTTTGAGGGAAATTGGCCTGAACATTTTGGAGTTGTAGGTACTGGGATTTATAGTTCACCTGCAATCAAACAGCACTCTAAACTTCCCCAAAGATGGAAGTGGACCAAACTTGGCACACAGAGCCCCCATTACAAACAAAAAATACCGGCGGTCTTTGGGGAAAATTTATCTTGATTTGGGGGAGTTGTAGTTCACCTACATCCAGAGAGCACTGTCAACCCAAACACCGATGGATCTGGACCACACTTGGCACACATACATGATATGCCCAAATTTGATTACTGGAAGGGTTTGGAGGGAACTGATCTTCCTTTCTGAGAAACAGTGACCAAACTTGGCACACAGAATCCCCATGACTAACTCAACCTACTAGAGGCATTTGAGGGGACTGACTCACCATAGTGGGAGTTGTAGTTCACCCTGCAGCCAGAGAGCAAACTGAACTCCACCCATGATGCATCTAGAGCAACCTTGCCCAACATGACAAACTTGAAGTACTGATGGAGTTTTTCGGGGTTAACCTGGCATGATGTCAGTTGTAGTTCACCCACAAACTTATGCATCTCGTACAATTTAAAAACTGACTTTTTCAAATAACTTGGGCAACGCTGGGCATCCAACCTAGGAATAGTGACATCTCCAGCTCATCCCGTTTGGGTATCAGCCAGCACGTCAATGACTTAAATCAAGAAATAGTTTTCTAAGATCTACAGAGACACTCGCTGAAACACCTCAGCAAGCGAGAGTTCAAAAGTGGCAGGCTCAAACCCAGAACCTCAATCAATGGCTGATACCAAATGAGAGACTCCCCCCTGGGCACACAGAAAACTCGGCGACTTGGAAGGCGCTGAACCGACAGCGCTCTGGCACCACGAGATGCAGAGCCAACCTTAAGAAATGGGGCTACAAAGTGGAATCCACGACATGTGAGTGTGGAGAAGAGCAAACCACTGACCACCTGCTGCAATGCAACCTGAGCCCTGCTACATGCACAATGGAGGACCTCCTTGCGGCAACACCAGAGGCATTCCAAGTGGCCAGCTACTGGTCAAAGGACATTTAATCAACTACCAAGCTTGCAAACTTTGTGTTTTGTTTGTTTGTTTGTTAAAAAATGCAATACAACTGTTTGGCTTGCTCCTGACATGATAAAATAAACAAAACAAACAAAAAAACCCCCAAAAAACAAAACCCTAGGAATATAGTATAATTTTGGGGGGCTCCACAAGAAACTTCTTCAAAAATGGCTCTGTGGCTGAAAACGTTTGAGAACCCCTGCCGTAATGTATCATTCAATCATATACCAATGTTAAAGTGAAACACCTGGTTTTTGTACCATTTCCCCCATAACTATCTATACACTGTGTGCACATAAATGCACCTCTGTACATCTCCAAGGACAGGCAATATAATTATTTACAAACCTGTAGGAGAGCCGACTTGCCCGACGTGAGGCTCTGTGTCCCTCGCACCAGCGGTGGCGGCGTTGCCGCAGCGTTTCCGGAAGACCCGATGGGCTGCAAAGGATCATATGGAAAAAAGGAAAAGAAAACAATACTTTAGAAAAGTAAACCGGGGGCTGGGCGGTTTAAGATTCCCAAGGTAATAAAATGGCCAGTCATGAAAACGGATCGATGTACAGCAGTGTTTCTCAACCTTCCTAATGCCGTGACCCCTTAATACAGTTCCACATGTTGTGGTGATCCCCAATCGTAACATTATTTTTGTTGCTACTTCATAACTGTCATTTTGCCACTGTTATGAATCGTAATGTCAATATCTGATATGCAGGATGTATCTTCATTCACTGGACCAAACTTGGCACAAATACACGCCCACATTTGAATACTGGTGGGGTTGGATATTGATTTTATCATTTGGGAGTTGTAGTTGCAGGGATTTATAGTTCACCTGCAATCAAAGAGCATTCTGAACACGAACGATGGAATTCAACCAAACTTGGCACACAGAACTCCCATGACCAACAAAATACTAGAAGGGTTTGGTGGGCGTTGATGTTGAGTTTGGGAGTTGTAGTACATCTACATCCAGAAAGCACTGTGGACTCAAACAACAATGGATCTGGACCAAACTTGACACGAATACTCAATATGCCCAAATGTGAACATTGGTGGAGTTTGGGGAAAATAGACCTTGACATTTGGGAGTTGTAGTTGCTGGGATTTATAGTACACCTACAATAAAGGAGCATTCTGAACCCCACAAACGAGAGAATTGGGACTTCCCACACAGAACCCCAATGACTAACAGAAAAAAACTATGTTTTCTGATGGTCTTTGACACCCCCTTGGGACCCCTCAGGGGTCCCGGCGCCCAGGTTGAGAAACACTGATGTAGAGGGTGGGTAAAAAGAAACACAAATGGTTCTTAAGTGCAAGGATTTCTGTATTTCAGGTCTGAGGATCGGTGAGCTGGCGGGAGATAGATAGATAGATAGATAGATAGATAGATAGATAGATAGATAGATAGATGGATGGATGGATGGATGGATGGATGGATGGATGGATGGCTGGCTGGCTGGCTGGCTGGCTGGCTGGCTGGCTGGCTGGCTGGCTGGCTGGCTGGAGTTGCACTTTAAAAATGTCCCTGTTCTGATTTACAAACAATTTCAACTTAAGAACAAACCTACAGAACCTATCTAGTTCGAAACTTGGGGAGTGCCTGTACTAATGTTCACTCTTCGGATTCACCTTTTGGGCCGTTGTCTCCTTCTGGATCTGACTCTGCCGCAGCTTTTTCAACAGCACCAGTTTGGCTTCCTCTAACCGCAGCTCCTCCTTCAGCTGCTTGATCATGCGCTCCCGTTCCTCGGGGCTGCTCTTCTGCAGGGACACAAGCAAAGAAAGTCAGGATGGCTTATCCTTATGAAATCCAACTTGCTCAGGGCCAGTGATTTTATGATGGTCCAGCCATGTTTGCAACTTAATTAACAGGAATTTTGCATAAAGCTTTACAATTACCGACAAAAGACTGGTAACTGGATGGATTGGTAGGATCACCCTTGTTCTAGACTGGTACTACAATGACAAACTGTCAACAACCCGTGTTGGTAATGATGGTGAACACTGCCATCAAGAGGGGGGTCCATCACTCAGGTTCTGATTTATTATTCGTATTTATTATTATTATTATTATTATTATTATTATTATTATTATTATTATCTATACACATAATAAAAGCGAAAATATGTATGTGTGTGTGACTGGAGAGTCCACTTAAACAGACAAGCTCCTGTCTCCACAAACAGCTATAGCTCCCACCACACAGGAGACACTAAGGGCTCTCCCTCCATTGACATTGCAGGTTACAGCGAGTGCCATGAACATGTCCAAGAGCCCTGCCAATCTCCTCCATCAACATCATCCTGTCCACCACCCAAGTAAAGGCTTTCATACAGGGACAATTCCATCCCTTCCTTCCATCCTTATTTATTTAAAACATTTATATTCCGCCCTTCTCACCCCGCAGGGGACTCAGGGCGGAGCACAAGATATATACGGCAAACATTCAATGCTGGGACATCAAACCATAAATATATACAAACATTAAAATCACTTATATTTACATTAAAAGTTGCTTAAAAATCATCTCAGGACACCATTTGCCTCATTGCACTGCCCCAAAGGTTTGGTCCCACAGCCAGGTCTTCACCATCCTTCTGAAGAACAGGAGGGAGGGGGCTGATCTAATATTGCCAGGAAGGGAGTTCTCTCCTTCCTCCTTCCCTTTCTCCTTCAATCCTTCCCTACCTCCCTTTTGTCCTTCTTTCCTTCTCTCTTTCCTTCCTTCCACCCTTCCTTCCCTTTTGTCTTTCCTTCTTTCCTCCCTCCTTCCCACTCTTTCTTCTTTCATCCTTCCCTTCCAACCTTTCATCCTTCTCTCTTTCTTCCCTCCTTCTTCCCCTCTTTCCTCCTTCCTTCCCACTCTCCCTCTTCCTTCTTCCATCCTTCCCTTCCACCCTTTTGGTCCTTCTCTCTTTTTTCCCTCCTCCTTCCCTCTTTCCTCCCTCCTTCCCTCCTTTCATCCTTCTTTCCCTTTTGTTCTTATTTCTTCCCTCCTTCTTCCCCTCTTTTCCCTCCCTCCCTTCCTTGTCTTTTCTTCATCCTTCCCTTCCATCCTTCTCTTTTTCCTACCTCCTTCCTTTCCTTTCCACCCTATTGTCCTTCTTTCCTTCCCCTTTTCTTTCCTTCTTTCCTTCCTTCCCTTTTGTCTTTTCTTCATCCTTCCCTTCCATCCTTCTCTTCTTTTTCCTTCCTCCTTCCTTTCCACCCTATTGTCCTTCTTTCCTTCCCCTTTTCTTTCTTCCTTCTCCTTCCCTCCCTCTTTTCTCCTCTATCCTTTCCCTTCCACCCTTTCATCCTTCCTTCCTTCCCTTTTTCTTTCCTTCCCTCCTCTCTCTCCCACTCTTTTTCTCCTTCCATCCTCTTCCTCCTTCATCCTTTCTTTCCCTTCTTTCCTTCCTTCCACCCTTCTCTTCCTTCCTTCCCTTTCCCCCTCCTTTCCCTATCCCTCTTTCTCCTTCCATCCTTCTCTTCTTCCCTTCTCTTTTTTTCCTTCCTTCCTTCCCTTTCCTCCCTCCTTCCCTAAATCCCTCTTTCTCCTTCCATCCTTCTCTTCCTCACCTTCCTTCCTTCACCGGGCAGCCAGTCCTCCTAGCAGAGAGTGCTATCATGTGTCCCCTAAGTTAGAGTGTTTGCCTAGGCCTGCTCTCAAGGGTTTTTAATAATAATAATAATAATAATAATAATAATCTTTATTTATACCCTGCCACCATTTCCCTAATGGGGACTGGGGGCAGTTTACATGCAGCCAAGCCCATACAACAAATTACAACAAATTTGGCTCTTCTCTGAAAGGTCATGCTTTTCCATAACAGTTACAAACTCCAAATGGTGATTTCCAAAAGGTTATGAATGCCATTTTTCAAAACTTTGGAATGTCCTGTACAGCATTCTTATTTGTTGGTGAATTTTAATACACTCCATACCAAACCCAAAATTATTTGAACTTCTTGCACTCCGACTGGGTTGAGGGTTGCTTGTAAGAGAGTTTGCCAATTGAACAATTAGGTTGTTAAATAGCCCCAGCAGAGGCGGACATAACGCTGTCCGACATCCATGCGCCCGTGTCCAACTTACCATGAGCACCTCCGCGCTGGTCTCTTTCAAGGGGCTTTTCGTCAAGCCGTTCATCCTGGGGCTGGAGGGCTCGTTGTCCGAGAGCACGATGACGTCCGGCGAGGGGACCCTCCGCTCCCGTTTGGCATCGCTGTCCAAAGAAAACGGAGAGAAGGACTTGAGACTTGTTCAGAACTGGCTTTGAGCACTGAATGCTGACTCTGTAGGCCAGGGTTTGAATCCCCATATGATTATGTGCGGGTCACACACTCTCAGCCTCAGAGGAAGGGAGAGGGAAGCTGCTTCTGGACCAATCTAGCCAAGAAATACATCCCATAAGTAGGAAATTCTTTCAAGGCACACGACAACAGAAATGTGTGAAATTCATGGGTCACCAAAAGTCAACTGTAGTCTATGATAACAATGATGTACTTTAACTATGTTAAAATACCTGCCTCAGGGGAGCGTGCTTGCTCAATCCGTCTTTAACATTTATACAAATGACCAGTGATGGCCAGAAGGGGCACAGAGTTTCATCTACGCTGATGATCGTGCCATCACCGCTCAAGCAGCGAGCTTTGAAATGGTTGAACAGAAGCTCTCCAAAGCTTTAGGTGCTCTTACTGCCTATGACAATCCATTCTAATCCATTTAAAACACAGACATGTGCTTTTCATCTTAAGAACAGACCAGCATCTCGAGCTCTGAGGACGACCTGGGAAGGAATCCCACAGTAACATTGCAGCACACCCAAATACCTGGGAGTCACTCTGCACCATGCTCTGACTTACAAGAAGCACTGTTTGACTAGCAAGCAAAAAGTGGGTGCTAGAAATAACATCGTACGAAACCTGACTGGCACAACCTGGGGATCACAACCAGACACAGTGAAGCCATACATCTGCCCTTGCGCTTGGCTACTTTGCTACTAGTAGGTTTTAAATGGTGTATTTTAATTTCGAGATAAATGTTTTTATTGTTTATGTATGTGTATATGAATTCGTGTCCCGGCATTGAATGTTTGCCATATATATGCTGTGCTCTGCCCTGAGTCCCCTTCGGGGTGAGAAGGGCGGAATATAAATGTTTTAAATAAATCTATATTAATAAAAATGTAATGTTTGTTTGTGGGATTAACATAACTCAAAAACCACTGGATGAATTGACACCAAATTTGGACACAAGACACCTACTAACCCAAGGAGTGACCATCACTAAAAAAAATGATTTTGTCATTTGGGAGTTGTAGTTGCTGGGATTTATAGTTTACTTACAATCAAAGAGCATTCTGAATTCCACCAATGATGGAATTGAACCAAACGTGGCACACAGGACTCCCAAGACCAACAGAAAACACTAGAAGGATTTGATGGGCATCAGTCCTTGAGTTTGGGAGTTGTAGTTCACCTACATCCAGAGAGCACTGTGGACTCAAACAATGATGGATCTGGGCCAAACTTGGCACGGATACTCAATATGCCCAAATATGAACACAGATGGAGTTTGGGGGAAATAGACCTTGACATTTGGGAGTTGTAGCTGCTGGGATTTAAAATTCACCTACAATCAAAGCACATGTTGAACGCCACCAACGACAGAACTGGGGCAAACTTCCCACACAGAACCCCCACACTTAAGGTCATCCAGTCCAACTCCCTTCACCAGGACAAGAAAACGTAATCAAAGCCCTCCTGACAAAGAGCCATCCAGACATAGATATAGATAGATAGATATGATTCACACACACACCAATATAGTATCACAGATTTGAAAGGGACTCCTAAAGAAGGACAATGATATGTTGCATGTTCCAGAGTGGGCAAACCAGACACTCTCCACATCAACACTGACAAAGAAACAGCAACAAATACTGTTTACCCACAAGCATAAATAAATTACATCTATCAGAAACCAACGCTTTCTAATTACTTTATTTTCCAGATCACCAGACTGGGTAACAGCAACGCATGGCAGGGGACGGCTAGTAAATAATAAATACTGAATACACATGTCCAGTGTGGAATACATCTCACCACGTTAAAACAATGGATGTGGCATTGCAGGACATCCCAATATCTGGGAGTTACCATGAACCGTGCTCTAACTTACAAGAAGCACTGCTTGACTAGAATCATAGAGTTGGAAGAGACCTCGTGGGCCATCCAGTCCAACCCCCTGCCAAGAAGCAGGAAAACTGCATTCAAACCACTCCCGACAGATGGCCATCCAGCCTGTTTAAAAGCCTCCAAAGAAGGAGCCTTTTTTTTTACTATCAAGCAAAAAGTGGGTGCTAGAAATAACATTGTACGAAAGCTGACTGGCACAACCTGGGGATCACAACCAGACACAGTGAAGGCATCTGCCTTTGCGCTTTGCCACTCTGCTGCTAAGTACGCATGCTCAGCGTGGAGCACATCTCATCGCATTAAAACAGTGGATGTGACTTTTAATGAGAAATGACACATTATCACAGGATGTCTACGCCCAACACCACTGGACAAATTATACTGTTTAGCTGGTATTGCTCCAGTAGCAGCCAGTAATGAAAGGAACAAGCAGTGACATCTCCGGCCCATCCCCTGTTTGGATATCAACCAGCAAGCCAACGGCTTAAATCAAGAAATAGTTTCCTAAGATCTACAGAGATATTCACAGGAACACCTCAGCAAGCAAGAGTCCAAAAATGGCAAGTAAAAATTCTGAACCTCAATCTGTGGCTGAGGCCAGTGAGAGACTCCCTTCTGGGCACACAGAAGACTGGGCGACTTGGAAGGCGCTGAACAGACTGCACTCTGGCATCAAGAGATGCAGAGCCAACCTTAAAATGGGGCCATGAAGTGGAGTCCATGACATGTGAGTGTGGCAAAGAGCAAACCACAAACCACTTACTACAATGCAGCCAGAGCCTTGTCACATGCACAAAGGAGGACCTTCTCACAGTAATGCCAGAGGCATTCAAAGGGGCCAGCTTCTGGTCAAAGGAAATTTAGTATAACTTTGTTTGTGTTTTTTCTATACATTATAATTGCATTCTCAATTCGCTTCTGACACGATAAATAAATAAATAAATAAATAAATACAATGTTGTGCCCTGTCTTGAATCCAAAGGAAAGGTGGGCAATCAATACAAGAAATATTATTGTGATTATTAACTCAACAGGGAAATTGGAGGCAAAGGAAGGCTGGAAATCGCACTGGGTTTTTTTTTTCCACTCCGCATTACCTCTGCAACCCACTAGAGGACCTGTAAACACCATCCATAGATCCATCCAACTTTTTGCGAAGTTTAAGACCAAAATCTAAGAAGGCAGGGGAATATGTCCAGCAGAGAATCCTTCTTTCTCCACAGTAGAGGCTGGATGGCCATCTGTCGGGAGGGCTTGGGTTGGGATTTCCTGTCTGGCAGAAAGGGGTTGGACTGGATGGCCCCTGGGGGCCCCTTCCGACTCTAGGATTCACACTTCCGGAGGGCAATCCTCCCCCATCTCTTGCATGTCACATGACCCACAGAGGCCATGCCTGGCGTCAGTCACGTGACCCAACCGGTTGGAACCGGTTTCGTGACACATGGCTTTCATTTGTGGAGCAAGGGATGGGGGAAGGAAGGAAGGAAGGAAGGAAGGAAGGAAGGAAGAGAAGAAGGTAGGAAGGAAGGAGAGAAGAAAGGAAGAGGAAGGAAAAGGAAGGAAGGAAGGAAGGAAGGAAGGAAGGAAGGAGAAGAAGGAGGAAAGAGGGGAAGGAAGGAAGAGGAAAAAGGAAGGAGAAAGAAAGGAAAAAAAGAAGGAAGAGAGGGGAAGGAGGAAGGAAAAGGAAAAAGGAAGGAAGGAGTGAGGGAGGAAGAAGGAAGGAAAAAGTGAGAAAAGGAGAAAGGAAGGAAGAGAAGGAAGGAAGGAAAGAAAGAGTGAGGGAAAGAAGGAAGGAAAGAGGGAGGGAAGGAACAAAGGAGTGAGGGAAGGAAGGGGAGAAGAAAGGAAGGAGTGAGAGAAAGAAAGATGAAAAGAAAGAGTTAGGGAAAGAAGGAAGGAAGGAAAAAAGGAAGGAAAGAGTGAGAGAGGGAAGGAAGGAAAGAGTTAGGGAAGGAAGGAAGGAAAGAAAGAAAGAAAGAGTGAGGAAAAGAAGGAAAGAAAGAGGGAGGGAGGGAAGGAACGAAGAAGTGAGGGAAGGAAGGAAGGAAGGAAGGAAGGAAGGAAGGAAGGAAGGAAGGAGTGAGAGAAAGAAAGATGAAAAGAGTGAGGGAAAGAAGGAAGGAAGGAAAAAAGGAAGAGGGAGGGAGGGAGAGAAGGAAGCCAAAACAAGTCTCCTCTGAAGAAATCTTGCCCAGAAAACCAAGGAGGTCGCTATAAACTGCAGGCTACTTTAAGGTCTAGAGATAAAAGTGGGATATGATGATTAATAATTGTAATAATAACACTGTATTGCTTCGATTCTAAGATGTCACTGACGGCAAGATGCACACTAATGTCAATACAGAACCAAAGCTTTATGTGTGTGTGTGTGTGTATAATTGGAGAAACATTATAAGCTAAAATTGGGTGCCGAGCCGTATCCGGAGGGTAAGGTGGGAGCGACACACAAGGCATATCCGCGCAACCGGCCGTCCTGGAAAAGCCGGTCGGCCAAGAATCCTCATTTCCAATTCCAAGGAGATCGTTTTGACATTTGGCCCAGCGATTCTGGGATGGGCAGCTCCAAAAGTCGGGAAGGGTTGGGATGGTTTAAATTAAGGGGGGAAAGCCAGAAAAGGCTGCAAGGGAGAAGTCTGATCCTCATCGGGATTTGTGACTTCCAAACCTCTTCCTTGAATGGCTTTGCTCAGAACCGGACATAATCCAATCCCTTCCAACAGATTCCCATCTAGCCTCCTAAACATCAGGAAGTTTCTGGGGAAACAGGGCTATAGAATCATAAGATATTAAAGCTTCATGGAGAAAAAGGACTATAGAATCCTAGACTCCTAGAGTTGGAAGGGACCCCAAGGGCCATCCAATCCGACTTTATTCTGCCATTATGGACACCATCTGACCCCTCCTAATGGATGGTCATCCAGCCTAACAAACAACAGAAGTTTTGTGGAGAAATTCGGCTACAGCATCATAATATCCTAGAGTCGGATGGGCTGTTCGGTCCAACCTCAATTTGCTACGACACAATCCAGTCCCTCTGACAGATGTTCATCTGGCCTCATAGACATTAGAAGGTTCATGGAGAAATAGGGCAACCATATCATTAAATCCAAGAGTAGGATGAGGTCTTCAAGGGCCATTCAGTCCAACCTCATTTTGCCACAACACCATACGACCCCTCTCGACAGATGGCCAACCAGCCCCTGCTTCTAAACCTTCCTAAAAGAAAGGAAGAAAGAGGGCCTACCTTTTGGAGGTGCTCATGTCCACCGGCTCGTCCCCCGTGGGCCCCTCGGCCTTGACAGCGGCGTTGGCCTCCTCTCCTTTCACCAAATCCACATTAGGGTCCCCTTCATCGCCGGAGTCATCCCCGATTAGGCCCTTGTCCATCTTCATCTTCTTACAGTCCACGTCATTCGGGGTGACCTCCCGCTCGAGGGCTCGCTTCTGGCTCCGGGTCCGGCAAGCCTCCTCCGTCATTGTGGTGTTCTGGGAAAAAGAATAGTAATAATAAATAATAAATCTTTATTTAGATCCCGCTTTTCTCACTAATAGGACCCAAAGCAGATCACAACATAATACAATACAAATCAAAGTTCACATCAATCACACAAAATAATAATAATAATAATAAGTGATTAATGTCCTCTAAAAATCTGAGCCAAGTTCACATGAAACACACAAAATAATAATAACAATAATAACAATAATAGGTGATTCATGTCCACTTAGAAGTACGAACCAAGTTCACACCAATCCCACATAATAATAATAATAATAATAATAATAATAATAAGTGATTAATGTCCACCTAATATCCACTTAAAACTCTGAGCCAAGGTCACATCACACAAAATAATAATAATATGTTATTAATATCCACCTAAAAATCTGAGCCAAGTTCACATCAATCACACAATAATAATACATGATTAATCCCCATGTAAAAGTGTGAGCCAAGTTCATGCCAATCACACAAAATTATTATTATTATTATTATTATTATTATTATTATTATTATTATTAGTGATTAATGTCCACCTAAAAGTGTGAGCCAAGTTCACACCAACCACACAAAATTATGATTATGATGATGATTATTACACGTGAATAATATCCACCTAAAATCTGAGCCAAGTTCACATCAATCACACAAAATAATAATAATAATAATAATAATAATAGTAAAATGTAATTAATATCCACCTAAAAATTTGAGCCAAGTTCACATCAATCACACAAAATAATAACAATAATAACAATAATAATAATATGTAATTAATACCTACCTAAGAATCTGAGCCAAGTTCACATCACACAAAATAATAATAATAATAATAATAATACATGATTAATCTCCATGTAAGAGTGCGAGCCAAGTTCATGTTAATCACACAAAATTGTTATGATTATGATTATTATATGTGATTAATGTCAACCTAAAAATGCGAGCCAAGTTCACACCAATCACACAAAATGATGATGATGATGATTTTTTTTTCTGGTCAGGAGAGACTTTAGAAACTGCAAGTCGCTTCTGGTGTGAAAGAATTGGCTGTCTACAAGAATGTTGCCCAGGGGACACCTGAATGCTTGATGTTTCTACCATCCTTGTGGGAGGCTTCTCTCATGCCCCCGCATGGGGGGCTGGAGCTGACAGAGGGAGCTCAACCCCCTCTCCCCAGATTTGAATCGCTGACATGTTGGTCAGCAAGTCCTGCCAGCACAAGGCTTTAACCCATTGTGCCACTGGGGGTTCATATGATGATGATCATATGTGATTAATGTCCATGTAAAAGTCTGAGCCAAGTTCACATCAATCACACAAAATAATAATAATAATGATGATGATGATGATGATGATGATTCATGTCTATCTAAAAGTCCGAGCCCCCCCTCCTCTCTCTCTCTCTCTCTCTCTCTCTCTCTCTCTCTATATATATATATATTATTATTATTATTATTAAATACTATAACAAAAGTCTGAAAGTAAAGTTAAAAGTCATAGCTTCCAGTTGACCGAGTCTTTCATTCTATCTTACATGCTGACAGCTCCTGACAGATGGCCACTCAAATTTGTTAAAACAATATTTGGAGCCATTGCCATTATGGAAGCTGGAATGGGAAATAAAACTCCAAATGTTACGCCTTATAAGACAATTTGTTTTTTTCTTTTTTTATGGGTATCCCAAATTATGAATTCCAAGTTTTAAAACTCCCACTGGAGGCCTTCTTTAATAATAATAATTATTATTATTATTATTATTTATAACTCACCCTATCTCCCCAAGGGGACTCTTTGCAAGGAAAGGAACTTCTCTCAAAGTTGGAACATCCTGAACACACAGAAATACATATATGTTTTTAACTTTGAGAGTCTATTATTATTATTATTATTATTATTATTATTATTATTATTATTATTATTATTATTGAGGTAAAGAGCTGAGTCAGTTTGCAATCCCATGACATCACTGGATCCACACATGACCTTCTCCCAGGATTCAACGGGAGAGACAAAAGCCCTTTTCCAGAAAGCCGGATTGAACCGGTTCCAGAGAGTTGTTAACACATGCAGTCCCATGCATGCATGCATGCACAGGAAAAAAAACAAAACACGCACACGAAACAGGCTGCAGTTTGCATTCCATAAGGCCCTCCCTTGCCTTAAAGGGGACAGCGTATACCTCTTTAAGGGAACAAATGGGTTTGCTTTCAGTGTTGGGAAGAAAGGATACAATAAAGCCATTACCGAGTTAGAAGGGACTCCCAAGGGTCATCTAGTCCAGCCCCATTCCTGAAATACACCCATCCAAATCTTGGTCTGAAGGCCTCCAAAGATGGAAAGTTCACTAATCTCCTAGGGTTGGATGGGACTCCAAGGGTCATCCAGTCTAACCACCTTCTGCCAAGCACGAAGCAACAACTTCGAAAGATGATACGAAGGGTCATCCCATGCAGAAATACAAGATAAAACACTTCTGAAAGATGGCCATTCAATCCTAGAGTTCAAAGGGACGCCAAAGGTCACTTAGTCCAGCCCTGTTCCACCAGGCAGAGAGATGTCACTAAAGCACTCCTGAAAGACGTCCATCTGGCCTCAGCTCCCTGCCTCCAAAGATGCAGAATCTACCAGAGAGATGTCACTAAAGCACTCCTGAAAGACATCCATCTGGCCTCGGCTCCCTGCCTCCAAAGATGCAGAATCTACCAGGATGCTAGAGTTGGAAGGGACCCCAAAGGTCATCTAGTCCAACCCCACGCCATGCAGAAAAGCACAACGACAACCATCCTGGGAGAGATGTCCATCCAAGATCAGCTGAAAGCAATTAGATCCAGCAACAGAACTCAAACTGCAGAATTAATGGCTGATGGACACCATTATTATTATTGCTATTGTTATTATTATTAGGTGTGGATGTATCTTATAGCTCATTAAACTACAATTCCCAGGACTGCATGGCAGTTCAAATGGAGTCAAAGTGTGTTTGTGCAATTAGATCCAGCAACAGAACTCAAACTACAGAATTAATGGCTGATGGATACCCATTATTGTTGTTGTTGTTGTTGTTATTGTTACGTGTGGATGTATCTTATAGCTCATTAAACTACAACTCCCAGGACTGCATGGCAGTTCAAATGGAGTCAAAGTGCATGTGTGCAATTAGATCCAGCAACAGAACTCAAACTGCAGAATTAATGGCTGATGGATACCCATTATTATTATTGTTATTGTTATTATTATTATTATGTGTGGATGTATCCTATAGCTCATTAAACTACAACTCCCAGGACTGCATGGATGTATCCCATAGCTCATTAAACTACAACTCCCAGGACTCCATGGCAGTTCAAATGGAGTCAAAGTACGTTTGTGCAATTAGATCCAGTAACAGAACTCAAACCGCAGAATTAATGGTTGGTGGACACCCATTATTATTGTTGTTGTTGTTGTCGTCATCGTCGTCATCATCATCATCATCATCATCATCATCATCATCATCATCATATGTGGATGTATCCTATAGCTCATTAAACTACAACTCCCAGGACACCATGGCAGTTCAAATGGAGTCAAAGTGCGTTTGTGCAATTAGATCCAGCAACAAAACTCAAACTGTGGAATTAATGCATAATAGACACAAATAACAACAACAATAATAGCTATTAGATGTGCCCAATATCTCAGGAAACTACAATTCCCGGGACTCCATGGTAGTTCAAATGGGGTCAAACTGCATTTGTTCAATTGGATCCAACATCAGAAGTCAAACAGCAGAATTCATGGTTACTCAGCCACAAATAATCAGCTACTGCCAGAAAGGACAGAGAGTTTCATCTATGCTGACGATCGTGCCATCATCGCTCAAGCAGGGAGCTTTGGAATGGTTGAACAGAAGCTTTAGGTGCTCTTACTGCCTATTACAGGGAAAACCAGCTGATTCCTAATCCATCTCCAAGGCACAAATGTGCCTTTCACCTTATGCATCTTGTGGTTTAAGGATCTTGCCATAGATGCAGGCGAAACGTCAGGAGAGAATGCTTCTAGAACATGGCCATATAGTCCAAACAACCTACAACAACCCATCTGCCCTTGTGCTTGGCTACTCTGCTGCTGAATACACAGGTCCAGTGTGGGATACATACCACCACGTTAAAACAGTGGATGTGGCTCTTAATGAGACATGCCGCATTATCACTGGATGTCTACGACACACACCACTGGAGAAACTACACTGTTCAGCTGGTACTGTACCATCTGACATCTGTCGGGAAGCAGCATCCAATAATGAAAGGACCAAAGGATTGAAATCTCCATCCTCTGTTTGGATATCAGCCAACATGCCAATGCTGTAAATCAAGAAACAGCTTCCTAAGATCTACAGAGAAACTCACAGGAACACCTCAGCAAGCGAGAGTCCAAAAGTGGCAGGCTAAAGCTTAGCGCCTCAATCAATGGCTGAGAGACTTCTTCCTGGGCACACAGAAGAGTAGACGACCTGGAAGGCACTGAACAGACTGCACTCTGGCACCACAAGATGCAAAGCCAACCTTAAGAAATGGGGCCACAAAGTGGAGTCCACGACATGCAAGTGTGGAGAAGAGCAAACTACAAATCACCTACTACCATGTGGCCTGACCTTCTCACAGCTACACGAGAGGCACTCGAGGGGGCCAGCTCCTGGTCAAAGGACATTTAGAAGATGCCAAGTTTTTAACTTTGTTCGTGGTTATTAAAATACATTATAACTGTACTCTCAATTTGCTTCTGACATAATAAATAAATAAACAAACGGTTGATGGACATAAATTATGTATTATATCTCAGCAAACTAAAACTCCCAGGACCCCAATGCAGTTCAAATGGGGGTCAAAGTGCATTCATTCAACTAAATCCAGCATCAGAAGTCAAATTGCAGAATTAATGGTTGATGGACACAATATTATTATTATTATTATTATTATTATTAATAATAATAATAATAATA